TATAATAAAAAATTGAATTAAAAAATTACACAAAAAATGAGGAATTTTAAATAGTTAATTTGATACGAATAGCGATATATTTTTGTTATGCATAAAGTACTGTATATTGATGCATATTACTTAAAATTTAAGATTATAWGTAATTATGCATAAGTACAACTTATTAAAGCTCGATATTTGAATTCGTATAAATAACTGCGGATAAACATAATCAAATAGAGGATGAACATCTAATATCGATATATTTTTGTCAAATTTTTATGATATCGTCAAACATATATTTTATTCAAAAATAAAAACATCATCGCTTTCTCAAAATCACATAAAGCCATATTATAACATCGACTGAGATAAATAATAAAATGAAATATTAAAAACACGATATATCTCGCTGCATTGCGCGAGTACGCTTCTAGTTATATTATAAAACCAGACAATTTCTCTTGTTTACGTTCTCATTGTTTATTGTTCAATATATCTGACCAAACATTTCCTGAACATCATCCTTGTTAAAATATTCAAAGAAATCATAATAAATGACTCTAATTATTATATTTACTATTTTATTAAAAAAATGCAGTCATCTTATTAATGAAATATAAAAAATAAGTATTAAAATTGTACCGTTAATATGTTAAAACCCCCTCCCCCCACATATATATAGAGAGAGAGTTTGTTTCAAATACAACCCGTCGCATTTGTACAACCAATGCAACCCAATAAATTGAGATATTTATGGAAATGATGAAAGTTCATTTATTATGATTTGAATATTTATGAAAGATGAATATGGTTCGTTAATTATGATCAATACTTTATATTAGGAAATAATCGAAACTTATATAAAATCACATATTAATCAAATGAAATAGACGGTTGAGATTAGGTTGTATTGATTGTACAAATGCCAATGGTTGTATAATAACCAACATATATATATATATATATATATATAGAGAGAGAGAGAGAGAGAGAGATAATGTTTCAAACTTCTGTATCAGAAATAATGGTATCTCCAATTATTGCCCCCCTGGGATGTAAAATATATCTCTTCTCACCATCCCTATAGTGTATGAGACAAATGTATGCATTTCGATTCGGGTCGTATTCTATGGTTACAATTCTACCATATATATGTCTTTTTCATTCCGTCGAAAATCTATTTTACGGTATAGACGCTTATGACCTCCCCCTCTATGCCCTGCGGTAATGATTCCTCTGGCATGACGACCTTTACCACAATGATGTTGTCCATAGATCAAATTATTTCGTGGATTGGATTTCACTTGACTGTCTACGGTTCCATTGCGTGTGCTCGGGGTAGAAGTTTTGTATAAATGTATTGCTATGCTATTAAGTATTTTGATTTAAGTACTTTTATTTCTAAGAGGTGGAATAGAATAACCCGGTTGAAGCGAAATGATCATACGTCTGTAATGCATTGTCTATCCCATAATGGGTCCCATTCTTCTAGCCTTTCCCCGAAGTCGATGACTATTCATCGCGATTACATTGACACCAAGAGAAGAGTTCGATCTACCGTATTCATCCAATAAAATAATATGACTTGGTAAGCACTTATTCGAGTAAAGTGTTTGGTAAACGACTCATTTAAAGAGTTCATATTAGATTCCAATATTAACTTTCAAACATGTTGAGCTATTTTGTTTTGTGTGCGTCTAATTCTTCCGACTGAAAGTGAAAAACATGTTATTCAAGTTTTTAAAAATATATATATAATTTGAAAAGTAATCTGGACAAAAAATTTGATAACCGTCGGTAATCTTAATCGGTTTCATCGAAACCCGTTTTTAAAAACACCAACATTAAAAAAAACATCAAGACCAGAGGTCAAACCTAGAACATGACTAACACGGACGTGAGATCATATTAAAACCTATTTTATATTTGAACAAATTCGTTTAACTTTTTTTATCCACTAAACTACAATCTAAAGTCAAAGACCTTCCAGCCTAGTGGTAAAGGCTTGGGCATGGTATAGTCATGAACCCGAGTTCGAGCCTGGGATGGGAGTGTTGGCGACATTTAAGTGGGGTCATGTTTAGCCTCCAAATTTGTCGGGGATTAGTAGGGCTTTGGCCCGGACACCCTTACAAAAAAAAACTACAATCTAAAAGTAGATAATTTAAAATGGGATTCCTTAATTTTAAGAGTAAAATTCACTTTTGGTTCTTAATATTTGTTAATTTCAACAGTTTTCGTCCCTCAAATTTGTTTTTAACAAGTTTGTCCCTCATGTTTGCCGATTCCCAAATGGTGTATTTGATGTCCATACAAGACAGGAAAGTACATGATGAAACATGACAGAATAGAACAATTGTTCAACGTGTGGTAAAATAAATCTGGACAGAACAGAACAAGTAAAATAACCAATTTACTGCTGATGACTTGTTTATTTTAATTAATTTATGCAATTTATTAAATTATAATAGAATAATTAATTTTAATAACAAAATATATCATTTGAAGTTTTCGTCAAAACAATTAAAATTACACCAAAATATAAAGTTTATGTAGCTTTCAGTTTTTATTTTTATCTCTTTTCTACATTATTTTTTATTATTAATATATAATAAATTACATAAATTAATAAAAATATAGAAATCTTATAGAAATAATATTTTGATAATAGTAAAATGAAAGTTTAAGAAACATAAAATATAATAAATAAAATTTAAAGAATAAATAAAATGAAAAAAAAGACTTACTTGATGTTTTAGAAGAGAATTAAGTTTTATTTTGAGGTTATATTGGTAAAATATAAGTCTGTTTCCACCCTGTTCCATGGGGTAGGGATGGAACAAGTCTGTTCCACTATGTTCTACATAAAAGTCATGCCAAACATGAGATATGGATTCCTGTTCTGTCTAATGTACCAAACGCACCAAAACTATTGGGAATCAACAAGTGTAAGGGATAACTGTTAGAATAAAGTTGAGAGACGAAAACTGTTAAAATTGACAAACTTTAGGGACCATAAATGAACTTTACTCTATTTTCCCCGTCAGCGTTAGGGTTAAACGGCCAGTTTAAAACATTGTAGAAAGTTAAGAGGACATTTTGGTTCGAATTCGATACCTTTTGAACACAAAGCCGCATTTAAAAAAGCGAACTCTAGGCTACGGCCATCTCTGTGGAATCTAGATAATCTGCAGTTGCGTTGTTTGCAGTACTGAACATGGAGATGGAGAAGCCACAGAAGAAGCAAGTTCTTCTCTTTTACTGTATGGAAGCCCAAGATCTTGCTCGCAAAATCGCTGCTCAATCCGACCACATTCAGCTCCAATCCATCAACTGGAGGTCTTCTTTCACCCTCTCTCCTTTTTTCATTTGAATTCTGCTTCCATCGAAATTGGCCTTCCAAGTTCTTCGTTACCCTTTCCTTTTAGTTTGCTGAATTGTAATTGGAGGTTTAACATTGACATAAGTAGATTGATAGTTTTGTTCTTAATTGTTGTGGCAATTTTTGCAGTACTTTCATCCATTCCCCAGATGCCAATTTTGATTTCTAGACGCAGACATGATACATGCAAATCCAAATTCAGATAGATCTTATATTATTATTATTTTTCGTCTTCATCATAATTTTCAATTCTACTACTTTTTTTCCATTCAAATTGATGATTATCTACAAAGAAAATGAGTATATCTTCAAAATACAAGTGGGATAATGAACTCATTTGACACTTAAAGGTCCTATTATTGGAACCCCTTTGGGTCAAATTTAACATATAGAGAGGGGTTTGTTAAGCCTCACCCATTTAGCATACCCACTCGGGGGATGTTTGGTTGGCTTTCCATCAAGCCTTGTATGGATAAAGTTGTCCGTATGGATTAATATGTCTGAACAGATTGGGAAGGTTTTTGTTTGAGAGGTTTTTTTTTTCATAGATAGAAGGAATGCGGGAGGGGCATGTTTGGAGAAAAAAACTTGACTTGCTGCATAAAACTCCCCCTAGAAGTTCACCGAATAAGCCAATTTATATATTATGAAGTCACTACCAAACCAAACTGTCATGTATAGCTGACCGAATAAGCTGCGAGTCTCATTAAGCTCATTAAGCAGCTAACAAACATCCTCTTACAATTGGAGCTGAAGGCTATAGTAATATAATATATCCTCCATTGAAGTACCTATTTATGGTGACAGAGAGTACTTGCAATGAATGATATTTCCCAAATAGCCACTGACCAATTTACTGAATAAAGATTAGCTTCACTTGGAATGAAGAAGCAGCAACTATTTTTATTCATATGGAATATCTTTAGATGACCATCTCCTCAAAATCATTCTTGTTATTACTTTCTTTAACTTTCAAGACTCTAAAAAGAATTGATGTTTCAAGTCTCATTCTCTTGATTGACTTTTTATTCCGATTCAGTTAATCTATATTTAGAAGATGAAATTTCACCGCTACCATCAATTATTTTTTATTTTCTTTCTATTGCTTTTTCTTTTTTTTTGGTAACCACGAGTGTCCGTGCCAACTTGTGCACACCTTCGACTAATCCCATGAGTCCTAAAGATTACAACCAGGAAAATCTGCAGTGGCGCTGAGGATTCTTTGTAGTCGTTTCTATTGTTTTGTCTATATAAAGTGATGTATGTATTCATGTTCTTAAATAAAGATATTGACATGCCATGTCATGTTCCAGGAGTTTCGATGATGGATTTCCTAACCTATTCATAAACAATGCACAAGATATCAGAGGCCACCATGTTTCTTTTCTTGCATCTTTCAGCTCTCCAGCTGTAATATTTGAGCAACTCTCCGTTATATTTGCACTTCCGAGGCTCTTTGTTGCATCTTTCACATTGGTATTACCTTTCTTTCCAACCGGATCCTTTGAAAGGATGGAAGAAGAAGGAGATGTAGCTACTGCCTTCACCATGGCAAGGATATTATCAAACATTCCAATATCAAGAGGTGGTCCGACAAGCTTAGTCATATACGACATTCATGCTTTGCAGGTCAGTTTCTTAGAAGGAGATTCAAGAGAGAACCCCCCGAAAAAGAGAATAAGGAACCCTCTCAAGTGTTGGATCTAAAAAGTAGATGGCACAGGTTCAAATGTAACCGCCCCTTTAATGGTAGATTTGGTTTTGACAAAAATTAACCGCTCCTCTTATTCACAATCGTTGGATTAAAATAGATGGATGGCTCGGATGGGTTCCCTTGTTCTTTTTAGTGTTCTCTCTTGAACCCACCCCCAGATTCTTAATGGGTAACGCTTGAAGTTTCTGTATCACATAAACACTTCTATGTAAAGAAGTGGAAAATACATGGATCTTTCTTCTTTTGAACATTCTTATCTATCAATTAACGTATCTTTCTTTGCATTTCCAAACTTTGAAAGTTCGAGCAAAATTTCATTTTGTAGCTGGCATGTCAATTAACTAGTCTGGCACTTCATATCTATATTTGTTAGAGCATAAAAAGACATATATTGTCTCATAAACACCAATCTTTAAGCTTTACTCTGCATACGGTGGGGAAAATTACTAGTAATTTGCAACTTACTGTACAAGTTAAAGTATATAATCTTGTATGTGGTAAAACTCACACACTTTTCTCACTTTTGGTGAGGCTTAAACCCTTGACCTCCAAGAAGGTTGGATCCATGGGTAATGCGGATACCGCTGGGACCTTAAACCCCTTTGCGGTATGATATAGGTTAATGAAAGAACAGTCAATCGAGTTAGGGTAATATTGTCAAAGGATTTGCTCGTTTAATCTAACAAATATGTTCAAGTCTTTCAAGTAATCTCTTCCTATTTACTGCATAGTAATCGAGCTAATCCTAACATATTCTATGCTGCAAATTTCTTTCTTTGCAGGAAAGGTTCTACTTTGGGGACAATGTTTTGCCTTGTTTCGAGACTGGGATTCCTCTCTTGAAGCAACGTCTTCACCAGCTTGCCGATTCTGATAATGTTAGCACCTGAAAAACTAATGAACTGGTCTTATCTAGTCTATATTTTTTCCCACACACACATATATTCTTTCAGCCTTGTTAATAGACCATACACCTTTCAAGAAGATCATTTTCATGGTATCAGTGCCGCCATGTTCTTGATAGGTACACCAACCTTTGTAAGCCATGGCTTTCATCATCATCTAGTGTTGTCCAACCATCATTTGTTGTCTTTAACCCTAAAACCTAAACCCTAAATTTGGTGGTAATCTTATCTCATGGAAAAGGAAGAAGTAAGATTGGTCTCACTATCTATGCTCCAACTTGAGGAGTGTTAGGAGATAGGGTTGATCTTATCTGTTTTGTGGAATCGTTTCCTTTTATGTTGCCTATATGTGTTTCCGATTTTGTTATAATATAAAATACACCTTTCAGGAATTTTGTGTTCACATGTTAATGTCTTTTTTTGTATTGCACTATAGATTGTAATTGCCTTTCCAGATGATGGAGCTTGGAAGCGATTCCACAAGCAGTTGGATCACTTTCCCATGGTGAGCTAAGTTCTTGTATACGAAAGTGGCAAATTGAAACCGCTAGACCTTATTTGTGGCAATGGCAGGTGGTTTGTGCAAAAGTTCGCGAGGGTGATAAAAGAATAGTACGGCTGAAAGAAGGTAATCCTACTGGTTACCATGTAGTAATTGTCGATGATCTGGTGCAATCCGGAGGCACTTTAATTGAATGCCAGGTACTTCTCCAACATATTGTGTGTGCGTGTGTGTTTGACGTACCTGTATACATGTATGTATAAACCAAACGGTCCCCATATATCCCACCTGAAGGTGGGGTTTGGAGGGTAAGATGTATGCAGACCTGACCTCTACCCGAAAGAATAGAGCTGAAGAACCCACCCAACCTTTCAAAAGGTTGAGGGTTCAAACCTCATGAAATACATGGAGTGTGCATGAGTATTTGCCTTATGTGAATATTATATAGTTTGAAAAAAAGAGTAGAGCTGCTGCTTTTGGATGATGTATGCATGTAGTTTTGAGAAAAAATGTTGTTAAAAGGCGAACTTTGTTACATTTTGATGCATTTTGCCGTATTTCATTTGTTGCAGAAAGTTTTGGCAGCCCATGGTGCAACCAAGGTCAGTGCTTATGTCACTCACGCGGTGTTCCCTAAAAACTCTTGGGAGAGGTTTGTTCACAAAAATGGTGGTAAGGGTCATCTCTTCGTGTCATTCTTGAAGGGTATTTTAGTCATTTAATATATAGTCAAATACTCGTATCAGACTCGTGTAGATTTATGCAAACTAGGGAGTAAGGTTTGTGTACATCTTAGTATCCTACCACTCCAGAGTCCAGACCCTACCTTCGAGTGGGATATACCAAAGTATGTTTGGTTTGATCTGGTTTATAATGGATTCTCACGTCCACTAATACTGTGTGCAGATGACTCGAACAAGGCGTTTGCGTACTTTTGGATCACGGACTCGTGCTCCCCGACTGTGAAAAACATTGAAAACAAAGCTCCGTTCGAAGTCCTAAGTCTAGCAGGATCTATTGCTGATGCACTTCAAATATGATCGGTTGGTTATGATATTATGGATCATTTAACGATTAAAACAAATGTCGATTGGTGATTAACATCGCACCAGAACTTGAGATTTTTCGGGTTTAGTATGTGTGCCATTCGATGCAATGTAAATCATATGCATCTTTTCACAGGAGATTTGGAAACCTCAATAACAAAGGAAAACAATATGAAGGTTCTGTTCGATTTCCTTAGATTTGGAAACCTCGATAACAAAGGCCCCGTTTAATTTGCAGGAATGGAATCGATATGGGGGTTTAGATTTCAAATTCATTTTAATCTCATGTTTGGTTTGTTGGATTGTCTGGATTTAAAATCCTATGATTTAATTGAAATCCTATAAACATAGAATTTTGAAATCTTAATTGAAATTCTTACAAGGTGTTTGGGATTTCATGGGATTGTATGCAATAAGGTTCTAAAAAATGTTAAAAATGTTTGTTTTGTAATAATCAATTAATAAAAATGTAATTTACTTATTTTAATAATTGTTTATAATTTTTTTTATAAATTATTTATAAATAATGGAATTCAATTTCATTTCAAATCCTGCAAATCAACCAAACCATGATTTTAAATCCATTTTAATCCAAATTCCTCCAAATCCAAATTTCTCAATGAAATCCAAATTCTTCAAAAACAATCATACAAATCAAACGGACCCTAAGGAAAATTATATCCATCTCTAAGAGATTATCTATTTTGGAGATTGCAACATTGATTATATTATTAAAATATTATATACATGTAATAAGATATTATTTTACTCTCATAAACATTTAACCTCCATATTTCTTATTGATGAGAATATAATAAAAAATTATTTCTCTAAATTTGAAGAATTTCACATTTTCTCTCTTTCTTTTTCCATTTTGAAAAAAGTTTCAGGGAATTTAATGGAGCAAAAATTTATCAAAAATCTCCATTTTCTTTATTTTAAAGAATTTATTGAAGATGCTTAGAAGTATTGAAAATCTATATTCACGAGAAAGAAATAATATTATATTAAATATATTAAATATTTTGATAATATAATTAATATTATAATCTTTAAAATTGAATAAATATTGGAATTGAATATAACCCTCTTGGGTTTTTTTTTCCAATGTTTTGTTTTTATACTTTTTACTATAAAAAATTCATGTTTTTAAATCTTAACTACCAAAAAAAAACATGTTTTGAAGACTTTTTTTTATTAACCTGGATATCCAACAAGTTATGTGAGCCGACTAATTTTAGAACAACCATCTACTTTATGGGTAGTCTGGAGTCACCATATTTGGATCTCCGTGGCCACAAGAAGATTTATATTTCTCATTGGATTTGAACCTGAGACCTCAAAACTCTTTTGACATTTGGAATTCAAGCGCAAACCAATCAGACACCATCTTTGTGGTTTGAAGACCTTCTTATATATCATCTTAAGAGGAAATGATGTATTATCTGATAAGAGTTGTAAATTTGTTTTTCTCTGACTATATATACTAATTTATTTACAACCAACATTAAAATTAAAGACAAACACAAATGCGAAAACCCCGATATAAGAACCCTTGAAACCAGTATTTGCCTTCGTCTTCATCCATCATTTTTGTGGGTTGATTTCGATTTTGTATGGACTCATTCGCTATTTCTAATTGATTTTGAGTTACTGTTTTCTTATCATGTTAACATCGTAAATAATTTTTTGTTAAAGAGGAATAAAAAGGAAAAAAGAGTCATTCGAGTCAAAAGAGTTTGTCAATGGACAAGAACTATGATGCTTTAGTTACACCACTCAAAATGTTACGTACTGGTTACATATTTTTACACATGTCGAAATTTGATTGGAGAAATATAGAAGGAAACAAGAAAATTGTTCCCTTTTTCCTGTTTTATTTGATGTTCCTGCAATTAAATTTTTGACATATGTAAAAATATGGGGCCAATACGTAACTATAGGGAGTGGTTAATGGTCATGTAAGTTCTAGGAAGATACATATCTATACTATATTATAAAGCATTTGATAAAAACTCTAAAAAATCATCTTTTATACACGAAGTACTGTTTATTGATGCATATTACTTAAAATTCAAGATTACAATCAAATTGTACGTAAGTACAATTTATTAAGCTGCATGTTTGAATTCGTATAACTGACTGTAGATAAACATAATCAAATATAGGATAAAATTTTTATTTTATTATAATTAGGATAATTATTGAAGTCTAATAGGAAAACTTAGTTATTACCTTTATAAAAAAAATATTATTAAACCAAAAATAAATTACTTCATCATTAAATATAAATTAAATTATAATAAAAATTTGAATTAAATAAATTACACAAAAAATAGAACTTTCATACTTTTTTAATTTTTATGATATCTTTAAAATTACATTTTATTAAGAAAAACATTATTATTTGCTCAAAACCATATAAATCCATATTATAAGTTGTCAAAGAAATCAATGCTTTTATGCAGGGTCCTAGAATAATCTTTTAGCCCAATTATATTTGTTTTAGCATTCAATATCATCGATGGTCAAAAACCGGTTCCAGGCCGGTCCTTATCGGTCCTGGGCCTGAATAAATTCGGCCATAACCGACCCGGTTCCAACCTATCTCGGCCATTAAATTCTTTTTTTAATGATATATATTTTTAATACGGATTCCGTCAACATAATACAAAAAGAGAATTTGGTACATAAATACTGTATCTATATGATGATGTTCGTTTTTTTAGCATAACTTCACATCGTACAGTAATAGTTACCATCCAGGATCTGTTCTCTCTTCTATACACTTGAAAACGGCCCTTTGCAACTACACTTTCTAACTCGCAACAAATAAATTATCTACAAACAAGTCAACCATAATTTTTAACTTATACAAACACTGCATATTTTCACGGTTACTTCGAGCAAACCGAACCATGTTAACCGTTCAGCATAGCCGTTGTTTTACCCTTGTCTCAACTTTCTATGCAACAACTTGTCGATCTCGATACAGCAAACCAATTCCCCATTAGCGTTATGATCCACAAAATTATGCGATAAAATGCAACCCTGCTATAAATACAAGTGTACTTCCCAACGGTTAGTAGGTGGAGTCTTCCAATCAGAATCAGCTTGTTGAATTCCGGTTTCCTTCCAGACTACTGGGTGAACTGTCCAATGAATCCACCGAATACGATCCATCTGGTTGACGAATACATATGTTCATATTGTGGCAGGGAATGGGGTCCTAAATGATTCAAAATTCATAACAAATGAGGTTAGAAGATTGTGTGAATATGTGGAAGCCCATCAGATTATTTTACAAAAATAGCCCTTGAGAAGAGAATGGGAGGATCGAACATATATCGAGTAGAAATGGTCCAATTCTAGTTGATGCGGGACTCTTAAGATGCCCTCTCCAATAGAGGTTAGACAGGCACAGATTGTGCCAAAGTGTCAAGATGGGACTAGACGAGTACAGATTGCCCCATACTGTTCAAGTCCTACAGTGGTAGACCTAGACTTTTAATACTATGCGAGAATATGTGGAACCCAATCAGATTATTCTCCAAAAAAACCCTTCAGGAGAGAAGGATGGTTCCAACATATATTGACTAGAAATGGTTCAAATTTAGCCGACATGGGACTCTTAACATAAATAACATACTGAAGGGTTGTTAGACTTCCATGGCTTTAGCTTTAATGATGGGTGTACAGAATCTTGTAAGCTCGAAGAACAATTATAATCGATGTCAATAGAGATGATGATTGATGATCGATGAAAAAGACTAAAACAGGTGTATCTTTGATACCTGATCATCTTTCCCTTGGGGCTCTGACTGGAAGAGAATTGGTCTGCACCATTTGTCCTCATTCATTAGACTTGAATTCTGGAAATGAGTAATGAGAGCTACCTTCCCCTGGATCCGTGCATACGCCAAAGAAGCAACCTTTTCGCTATTAAATTTCTCCCACTTTTTCCCATTGAATGCCTGGACAAGAAGTAAAGGCCATAAACATCCAATATATTTCTCTAGCTACATGATGAAGGGAAGAAATCAAATGAACTAAAGATTATAATTCACATGTGAAGCGAAGGGCCTGCAATCTAAAGTATTGCTAGAGGAAGAACTAACAACATTGGAAAACAGCAAGGATAGAAGTTCAAAACCTCATAGAAGGAGATAATGTGTGAAGGAGACACCATGTTGATGAACGCATAGCCCACATTGCATTTGTTCTATGAACGTGAATGGTAAATCAAATCAGCACCGGTTTAAAAAGAACGATAAATCTGATCAGTTCAAATTTACCTTAAAATCAATGGGCAAATACACAAAGTCATAGGTACCCTTGTGACTTTCATCTATAGCTGCAAGCAACATCTTTGAAGTGTACCTTAGATGAAGAGAGAAGATGATGAGTGACCAATAATCTACTTCACATGATAAACAAACAAGATCATATCACTCTTACTTATTAGGGATATTCTTTATCATTAACGTTGTTCTAGCGTCTTCCCCGCTAATAATCTTATCCAAATCAAGTTGATACTGTTTGTTTCCTATCTGGTTCACAGGGTAATCAACTCGCCGAATTCGATTACGTTCGATTGACCCCTCATTTAATGCTCCCCTTCCATTGCCAAAGAATATAGGTCCTTTGCTAGGAAAAGATGTCATTCGGGAAATAGGAGAACCACTTCCAAGTACATCTCCAGGAGAAGCAGGACCAAAACCAGTACCATGTGCACTCAGGTTCGTCATGTGGCTTCCATTACCGACAATCGATCCCACACCATTAAAGACGAGAGGACCCATAAAGGGTCTCTCTAAAGATTCTGGATAGGATGTGAAATGGCGATCAAAAGGTGTGCCAGATGGAGCAGAGCCTACATGATGATGTGATCCTAGAAATGTACCATGCTGGCTGGGACTTGCATAAACTGGTCCCTGTTCGGTTGGTGTGAACAGGCCGACCGAAGATGCCCGCCAAGAAGAAGAACTTTGGAGGTCAGAGTAAGTAGTTGGACTTCCCCATAGGAACTCCGGACCAGATAGTGTACCTATGCTCTGCTGGTTAAATCTGGAATCGACAAAAGAGGATGCATTCCCTGGACTAGTGCTTGTTTTATTCTCGGGGAAGGAACGAGATTGCTGATAGTCCAAGCCCTGTGTTGACTTGATAAGGCTATCCCTTGTGCCTTGATCTTTACCGATCGGTGCAATCTTCACAGGGTTTGACAGATGTGTTGGAAGTATAGACGCCAAGCCACGCAAATTGTTGCTGTTAACAGGGCTAAGTGTTCCCATCCCTGATGACCAGCTAAACCCTTGTTGTGAACTGCGTTCCCCTGGACTGCTTAGATGAGTCCAGCTACCTGCCAGATTTACATATGGAGGTTCAGCTTGCAAAGAGAAAAAGTTTGGCAACCAAAAATCGAATAAAATTTGCAAGCCGGCGGCCTTCTATCCTTTGGGATAGAGGGAAGGTATGCATATAATCCTTTGCCCAGACTCTTATCTCTGTGTGAGATATGCGGGGTTCGTTTGGTTTGATTTGGTTAAATTGAAATCTTTTTCACACATGCTAACCAGGGGGAGAGTTGACCACTGGTGAACCAACATGGTGCCAGAAAGCTCGAGTTTCATCCTGTTCCAGCTCTAGACTTAATTGCTGTATTAAGCTACATAAACAAAAGGTAAATTTTAAGAGAAAGGTCTCTTTGCATTTGTAAGGTAAACTAGATTGTGTAAGGGGATTTAAGTGTTAAATGCTAGTAATATATACCTTCTACGAGTACCACCAGGCCTACTGTGTTCAAGTTTTATTCGTTTGCCAGCAATTTCACTCCCATTTAGAGCTTTGAGAGCCATCTCGGCAGCTCGAATGTCATAAAATTCAATAAACTTATGGTGTCTCTTGTTTGGTGTTTCCCTGATCTGCTTTTCATAAAAAAAGGTCAAAATACATCTATAGTAGCCATTATTTGGAGAGAGGGCACTCTTAAAAGCTCTCCACCAATATGAAGTTTTTTGGAAGAGAAGACATCACCTCTTTGACTTCCCCATAAGCCGCAAATATTTGACGAAGATCATCACTAGATATTGAAGCATCCAAGTTGAAGACAACAAGAGTTCCTTGATTGATATCTTTTTCTGAAGGGTTATCCTGGATGTATCATGGACAAATCAATTAGCACGGTTACTCGTGTGAACAATCCTACAACATGTATGACACAGGGGCCCTGTACAGACCTTAGGGATTGAAAAATGAATGTCTAGTTTTCTTCGTCTCAAAGGCTTGCTTTGAAGTTCTCTCATGGCAGCTCGAGCATGTCGGATGTCATAATAAGATATCATCACAAAACCCCTGTGCTTACATGCCGCATATATATTTCTGATTTCTCCATATTCCTACAGAAATTACATATAGAGCATGAGTATAGAAAATAAAAGAAGGCCCCAGATCATCTTTCTGTATTCATGAAACCCTGAACATTGTCATTTAATGTTGTATAATATAATCAAGAACATAAATGAATCTTGAATTGGATGAAATACCTCAAAGAGGGATCTCAATTCAGAGTCTTCAACATTGCTATTAATATTCCTAACGAATAATGTCCTTGAAGGGTGTTCTCCATATGGGTGTTCTCCAACAACTGATCCCCCACCATTAGGAAGCTCATGACGACCGATACCAATTAAAGGGACACCATCAGACATGCTTAAGGTCGAGAGACCAAATCGAAGTGCTTCTTGAGAATCAAAATCCATTTCCATTCCCCCTCCACTTTCAAACAGGTCATCTTCCAAGTCCTCCAACTGAGTAGGCAAGTCACCAAGGTCAAAATCATCCATTACGCCGGCTAATAGCTCATCTTCGTCCCCAGGAAGCATGCTTCCAGTTAAACTAGTTGTCATATCACCAAGTGTATCTTCACTCTCATCTTCTTGAGGAAATCCACCTTCGAGAGATTGTTTATTATATTCCAAGTCAACGAAGTTCACTGCACGGAAGCAGGTGCCAGATGTTAAACCAAATTGTGTGTAAAATGAAGTTATAAATAGTTAAAACTGATTAGTGTAGGAGAGCCCTCGCACTTTTCTCATGCGGAATGACAGGCAATGAGCTTGAAAACAAGCTAGTGTCACTTGACGCTTGATATGCCTCTTTTCTACGTCGGATCCCCCATGCATTTTCCACCTCTTGAAATACAGTTGGTGCTGGAGAAGCTTGCAGAGCTTTTAACACAAACAAGTTCAATACGTCAGCCCCCCTCCCAAAAAAAATGCTATGACTACAGATTGCATACAAAGAGAGTATGATGATAATAATATGTTATCATTTGTTACTTCAATATATGAAAAGAAAGATGAAACCGCTCACCTGAAATAGAATTTTCTAAATGCTGCTCCATTGAATTACTTCCTACCACCAGCCCAAACAAACCTATCACCAAAGATGATATTACAACAATTACTCCATTTTCTCACATTCAAAAAGATCCTGCAACATAGTTATCAAGGCTAAACCAGAAGTACCCCCAAGTCGCTAAAGGATGGAGGGCACCACAGCATGCAAGGGGAAACCTATGTACCAAAGGGTGTAATTGTCCTCAAGGGAGCAACCACAACCATACGCGTAACAGCACTCAAGGGGACCCATAAAATGTCTTTGGGAAACTTGGGCATCAAACCTATATTTGAATATTTGGTCGTAGAGCAAAGTCCGAGGACTGTAACCAGTTCTACTTTTTAAGTACTCGATAAGCTATACTTCTCGGTAACTTGCATTAATCTCACTTGGTTCATTTAGTTAGCCTCATGTAAGAGGTGGATCCAAAAGTAAAATCCCCTTTGCTCATGACAATATTTTGCAGGTTACCCATAGCTGGACTGGGGGCAAGATTGGCATCAACACCATCAGCCCCAGCAAAGTTCCCATTATCAAAGTTTAGAAAGGATTTTAGGTAAATCTTGGAGAAGACACTTTAAATAAATACAAATCAACAAAATGATTTTTGCTCTGATATCTAACAAGAATCCCCGTCCATTTTGAAATTCCTCATATCATTTTCAAGTTCATAATGGACACAGAGATGTTAGTTTTAACACTCCAATATGTTTTTTTTCTAATGATGTTGGTAGTTTAATGTAGCTAAGAATGTTTTGCTTGAAACAATTTTTCATCTATCTATCTTAACATGGCAACGACGTCAATAATTTATATTTTCTAATTATGGCACCTGCCAAATGGGTCATCTAACTTCAAATTTGCGAAAACCAAATAAACCCGGTATATCCACCAGAAGGTAGGGTCTAGGAGGGTTAGATGTACTCGGACCAGACCTCCATCCGAACGGGTGGAGTGCAAATTTTGCCAAAAATGGAGGCGAAATAGAAATGGTTGCAATTTCCATCAAGAGTCGAATATGGACTACTTTTGGGGGCATCAGGATGAAATCCCCATTATAGTAAGCTTACTATATTATAACTTTAACTACCACATCAACATTAAAAGACATATTGAAGGTCATGTGATCTTCAACCCTTGACTTGGGGCAAAATATTCACAGTAACCACGATGATAACCATTAGTAGCAAAACTCCACCTAATAAACACACAAAAAGCTCATTAAATAGTTGCATAAATAGCCTGTTTGATGGATTTAGTCATAGACTATGCACTTGTATGAAAGGAATTCGCAACAAACACTCTGGTCAACACCATTCGATGATCGAATATACCACATATACTCCATTAAACAAGTGGAAAACCCATGAAACTTACAGAATCACTTTTTCTCTTCTGCCAACAACTACAAATAATTGAAATTAAAATCGGAAAACAGACTCGATTGCGATCATTCATGGTTGAACAGTACAGGAAGAAAAAGACAAAAAGGAACTCACCTCAGGTCGTAAAAGAATTTAGTTGTACCAAGAACATACGAAGATCGCAGAGAGAGAATAAATGGAGATGATGAAAGGCCGATTGGATTAAAAGAATAGTTCCGTAGAAGCAGAGAAAATGTGTTCCGTATACTCATCTACTTCCTTCCCTCCCGCCGGGTGAAACGAGCTCCAACATTTGACCAAGTGGTCTCGACTCCACCATGATTGGATGGTAAGTAGAGTATAACAACAGCAAATTATTGACGCCACTGCTCTCTCTCTCTCTCTCTCTCTCTCTCTTTATATATATATATATATATAGATATATACACATACATATATAATATATAACCTTGGTGTATTTGAATTCTGTTTGGAGTCCGTTGACGGTGTGGATATAATTTCCAACTTCTCATTTATGATCGAATTTATAGATTTTGATTTTAATCACGAAATTAAAATTTGAATCCAACTTAATCATTATTTTTGGTAATAAATCTTTTTTAAAGGATTTAATTTTTAAATTGAATCATTTGAGATTGTTTAAAACAAAATTTTATTGTTATTTGATTAGACATTAGTAGAGGTGTTTATGAGTTGGGTTGATCGGGTTAAAAATATTTTGAACAAACATATCCAATTCTTGTGGTTTGAAAAATTAACTCAACACAACCCAAATGTACGGGTTGATCGGATTGATAACATTGAATATGTTATTTTTCTACTTATAATTTTTTTTTCATCATCAACTTATCCATACTTTTTACGTATATCACATTGAATATGTAAATTTTCTCAATTTACATATATATGTTCACAGTTACTGAACATATATACGAATGAGTTATATAGAGATGAATAATAGATTGAAAATATGTATATATGAAGAGCGTACGTGATAATGTAATTGTGTAATCTATATATTAATATAAACTCAACAATCATATTACATCTTAGAAATAAAAGGATATCAAGCTCATCAGGTTGGGTTGGATTCAAATAATAGTAACTTAATATCAACCCAATACTTATGGTTTGAAAATTTCACAACTCGATTAGACATTAGGTTGCTTCATATTGAGTTATTTCGCATTGGATTGAGTTAGGTTGATCAGATTTTTTAGCACCCCTAGACATTAGAATGAGATCTATTTCATTGAGGATTCGGGTGTCCTGACGAGACCAAAAATTTCCTAGGAACGGGAATCCCAAAAGTTAAAAGCTTGGGATGGGGACCAGGCAGGATAACGTGGCCCTACCTGTATTTAAATACATTATTTATAAAAAATTATATTTAAAATGTATTAAATTTAGAAATAAAATTTAATATTTTTTCTTATATACATTTTTCCTGACACGTCTTATTTCTTCTAGATAAAAAGACAAAGAGTCAACAACTTTTGATCAAATAATTTTATAATTACGTTGATTTTATGATTTTATTCGTATATGAATATTTAATGTTTTATAAAAACAAAATATGTAAAATTTAAACATGAACAATTTTAATTAAAAAAATATCGTTTTTAACAAATACGATTTAAAATATCTACGAAAAAGATCTCCACCACCATCTTGGCATACGGATTATTGACGACAACAAAAATATTAAAATATGATTTCCTTTTAAATTTTATAATTTAAAAAAAATATGTAATGCTATAAATTTTGTGGCTAAAGATAGCAATCATGTCTTAACTACCAGAAATATGACGTCAAAAATAGTCATATTTTTTAATAAAATTATTGATATAAAGTTTGTTTAAAGCATGGATTTTCTAAAATCAAAAATTAAAATTTATAAATTGATTATTTTTATGATAGAGTAAATTACATATTTGGTACTCGTGGTATGGTTTTTTATGAATTTGGTCCTTAGACTTCATTTATTATGAATTTGGTTCATGTGGTGTGCATTTTTTGTTGGATTCGGTCCTTCGGACAAACGTCCATCCAACAGCTCCGTAGAAATTGAGAGCAAAATTGGCATTTTGATTTTCTTGTATTTTTAACGTTTTCTAAATTAACAGTTTTTAAATCATGGAACGTAATGTATGAATCAAAACTTGGAGGGTCAAAATAGAATATATTTATCTTCAAAATAAATAATAAAGGTTTAATACTAGAGTTGTACATGGTTGGTGGGACCAGTATTTAAAGATTGTCAAACTTGGCTTTGTTTGGTTCGGCTCGGCTCGGCTCGGCTCGGGACCAATGAAGTATTGGAAACGGCAACGACTAGGACGGGTTACGACCTGATAGTCTTGGTCCAGTTATGATTTGAAATTTTGAGGCCAACCTAGCCTTGGACTGGTTACTAGACCACTTTCGGTTTTTCAAAGGACCGATTTCTCAAGATTTTTCAAATTGTAATACATTTTGTAATATTTTTTTCAAGTAAATGTAATATTTAAGTGTACTATAATATTTAGTTTTAAAAATCATAATTATAAAACTCGTGAAATATTATTGTGTACAAAATATTTTCTTAAATAACTTTTTTTTAAAACTCGGACTAGGGATTAGTCCTATAATTTTGGGTCAAGAACAAGAATGGCTAGCCTGGAGACAAACCAGCTTCCAAGAACCGAGACCGTTTGGAACCAGCCCAAGTCGGGACCGGTTTTTGGCAATTTCTATCGGTATTGATTATGAAGTGATAAATTTTGAAGCTTTATTCTTAAGGCTTGTAACCAAACTTAGGCTTGAAATTTATATCTAATAAGTGTTATACAAGTCACCGATGCTATTACAGTATGTTTATATATATATATATATATATATATATATATATCTACGTTTATATTCATGATTTTTTTTGTACGTTTCTTATCGAATAACTTTTAAAATGTTAGCAAGCGTCAACCAAGTTCTTGAGGATCATGCCTACGTAATCAAGATTCAAGATCGAACATGTGTTGAACTGTTCTTAACCGTCTGAAAATTGTAACTAATTTTAATAAGCTTGTAACCATCCAAACCTAAGCACGGTATGCACCCTAGATATTTGTGCAATATCAAGCACACCCCTATCCTACACGCAGATTCCATACTGATTATTCATTGAATATATCTGTGTATAAATTATAATATGTTATATATTTGGATACATTAAAATGACATGGCAAGAAATCATTGTTTTAGGGTCTATAGCAAAGCTTTCGTTTATTTAAGGGGTTTGGTTTACCTATTCAACAAGTAACCGTTTGCATTAAAATGATATGACAAAAACAAAAAATTAAATAATATCCACGTTATTAATTGATTTCCATCTCATCAAACTAATTAATACAAAATTTACATAATCAGTTGGTATAGATGAACGTTGAATAACAGATCAGAACAAAAGTTAGTTGTAGATGAACATGAATTAAAAATCGAACGTAAATTTCTCTATATAAATCATATTCATCAAATACAAGAACCTAAATCATAATCTAAATACAAACAAATTTATACAATCCCGCTTTGAATATGGGTTTTTGCAAATCAAATCAAAACCCTAGACTTCTTTTTCATTTGATTTAAATCGATCCGTTGATGGGTTGTTTCGAAATCCATCGCCTTCAAAATCAAAACCCTCCGTTGATGGCTTCTTTGAGTTCGTTGAGTTGATTTGTTGAAGGTTAATTCGTCACTGAACCAAAACTCCTTGTCCTTTGAGCTCTTATTATTTATTTGATTAGTAAAAACGCTGATTCATGCATATTTGTGGATGTATTAGATGTGATAAATGATCTAAAATCAACACTATAATTTATTTTGATGCGTAAGATTTTAGTATATCAAAACATATCGAATGCAACAATTTACCGGATAATCGTTTATCTGGGTAAGAGTTGTCATATTCACTTACCAGGTAGGACTCTCCATCATTTTTATTGCTCTTACCCGGTAAGATTCTTGACATTTGTCATGTTCATCGGATGAAGAAATTTATCCGATAAACACTTACCAAGTAAGCGTTTAGTAAACGACCCCTTAAGTTTTTTTTTTGTTTTTTTTTTTGTCACATCATCTTACGGCAACCGTTTACATATTGAATAGGTAAACAAGACCCTGAAATAGATTAAATGTTTTATCCAAGCCCTAAAATTAATGTTTTAAAAGTTTGTTCTCCAAAATAGGAATCAACTCAAAGTTGGTTTCATGTTAATTTATTTTTTTCTTTCTAAAATTTTATTTGCACAATAATTTAGTGGAAATGATTTCGAAAACAACTTTACATTATAAACCAAAGTGTGATGCAATAGATCATTAACGAATATCAATGTTCATACGTTGATATTCCCGTTGCACGTGTTGTTGATCGAGTAACGAGATTTAAATTTATAAACCTAACTTATATCAGTAAAGATTGTAAAAATCGAGTACTGTTCTCTTCAGGGAGTGAGCGGTCAAGCCAAATTGTTTGTGTTAAAACCGAAAGCATGCGTGTCATAAGATCGACTGCTCAATTTGTCAGTTAAGCTCAGGAATAACCTGCTAAAAACCGGTATCTAATTATTACAAATGACACTATTTCAAAAATCGGGAGTTTTGAAAAGTTGAACTAAATTACTAAAAGGACACTGCTGCATCTCTAATCATTACTAACCCAAGTGTTCCTCAAACCCAATTGACTTCATTGAATTACTGACTTAGCATGTGGTGTTTAAACTGATATAAATACGAAATCAATCCAACATTCGGCATAATCCATGTCTATTCTACGTGACTGCCCTCACACATAAATTAACCCATACATATAATCATTCAACGCACATATGAATTTTTTAATATTAAATCAATAAAAACCGAACAATATCTCTCACATATTATTTCTAACAAAAAAAATCCATACTTTTGGAATGTAAAACCAAAACAAAACTATAAAATCAGATAAAACCGAATTACACCTGTGGTTTCACTTTTGGACGACCTCAATGTGCACCTAGCCTTACATCTCCATTAGAATCATCGAGTTTGAATCTTCAATGGTCATCTCCATCAAAAACCGTGAGCATTCTTCATCGATTATCATCTTCATGCAGGAAATTAAACAAAACTAATGACAAAATTAAGCTTTTCTTTAAAACAATGGCAGCAGCAGCTTCGGCCTCACGACCTCCACCCCTTGAACTGATTTTTCTCCTCCTATGTAAGTTTCTTGTCTAAGGATGCTGTTAGCGCGAGTTGGACATCTAATTGTCGAGACGGTTATACCATTTTAGTGCATTTAATAGGGATGATTGATGAGAAAATAAAGTAATATCAACAACCGATCAATTCCTCTTGTCACGATTTCTCGTATTCCATCTCGTTCTGAGCATAATACTTCCAACTATAATATATAAGATAATTGTTAATTAAATATGTCGGATGTCCAGATGATCGTATAATACGAATTTTCATTTATGTACATGTAAACATAATACGAATTTTCGTGAAATACCAATTACCCGATGGAATTACTAAATCCAATGTTTGTGCAATTTCATTATAATCCCATAATTTCATTACGAACTTTCTTTTAAACCAAAAGTTGAATTAAAATATAATCCAATTCCAAAACGTATCAAATCATGCAAGCCGAACAAGCCGTTTGGTTTGACATAATGTTTTTGAAAGATTTGAATTTCGTTAAATTTTTTGGAAATGAAAGGATTTGAAATATTTGGTTTGTAAGATTTAGAATGAAATTGAATTTTGTTATTTATAGATATTTTATATAAAAAACAATTTACAGATAATTATAAAAATTATTACATTATCTTTTATTAATTAATTATCACAAAACAAATATTTAAACATATTTTAAAAATATTTTTATATAAATAGATCTTATGAAATCCAATGAAATACCAATTGACTCCATGAATTTCTAGGATTTATTTGTAATAATGTTTTAAAATAATTAAATAGCATTTGTTTATGAATAATCAATGAATAAAATGTATTTTAATTATTTTTATAAATTATTTATAAAGAATGAAACTTAATTCAATTCCAAATCCTGCAAAACCAATCCACCAAATATGATAAGCCCTTCAAACTCCAAATCTTTTCACGAAATCCAAATTACTCAAAAAAAAAATTATCAAACCAAACCGAATATTAAGATATTTGTAATTAAACATTACAATTTATCAAATTTTAATAATAAATTAAATATCGGTCAAAATGTTAAAAAGAAAACAAACTTTATTTTCATTCCTATTTTAAATAATTTAAATTAAAAGCCTTTATTAATGATTAAAGAGTTTTTATTTTGGAAAATTATGATTTAAAATTTCGAAATTTGACCAGTCAAAATAATTTTTTTTGTTTGAAGAATATGAATTCATTATCAAGATTCTTAAGTGAAACTTTTCGGAATTATTATTTTCTAAAATGAGATTTTGATCTATGGGAGCATCTCTAATAAATTTTAAATATTTTTTTAATATAAAAAGTTAAAAATTGAAATATCCAAAAAAAATATTACATTTATCTTCAACTAATCTCCATTTTAGAAACTATAACATCAATTAAATTTTTTTTTTAAATATATAATATTTCAAAGATTTTTTTACCAATGAATTAATAAAATATTATTTCACTCATAAATAATCAGGGGGTGTTTGGGATTGCTTATCAAAACGACTTATTGACTTATTTCAGTCTGGCACCGGAGATAAGCCATTTTGGAGTGTTTGGGTAAAAAAAAAAACTGCTTATACCGGTACCAAACCGGTAATAAGTCGTTTTTGATAAGTTAATCCATAGTGACTTATAAAAATTGACTTATTACCGATTTACCATTTTAACCCTGTCTAAACACCCCCTAATCGATCACGTCTTCTCCAAAATCGATCAGATCTCCAGGTACGTCTTCTCCAAAATCGAGTTCTTCTCCAGAATCGAGTTCTTCTCCAGGTACGATTTCTACAACCATGGAACTCGATTTACAACCATGGAACTCGATTTCTTCAACCATGGAACTCGATTTCTTCAACCATGGAACTCGATTTACAACCATGGAACTTGATTTATTCAACCATGGAACTCGATTTCTTCAACCATGGAACTCGATTTGGAAGAACAATTTAGGGTTTGAGGTTACTGATTCACGATGGAACTCGATTTAGGGTTTTTGTTGGTTACTGTTGTGTGTGTTTTGACACTTTGGAAATGAAACAAGATAACGTCCTTTTTGGTCATTTTACATGTATAAGCAAAATTTACCAAACACTAAAAAACAACTTATCAACTTATTGCTTTTTGGTACCGCTATAAGCTAATCCAAACACTTTTTACAAAACTCCAGTTTGATACCACATAAGTTAATAAGCACTTTTACAAAAAAGCATAAGTTGTTTTAATAAGCAATCCCAAACACCCCCTCAATTCTCTGTACTTATAGAAATTTTCATTCTCTCTTTCCTATTTTCTAAGAAATTTTATTTCATTTAGGATGGTTTACTAAATGCTTATACGGATAAGTATTTAACAAGTCATATTACATTATCGAATGACTATGACAAGGATCAAGAATCTTACCGGGTAAGAACAAAAGCAAGGACCGAGAGTCTTACCTGGTAAGTGAAAGTGACGACTCTTACTCGGTTAGTGCTTACCAGATAGATTTTTACTTACAATGTCGTTTGATGAACTAAAGTCTTACTAGATAATGTAAGTGATAATGTTAAATTTTACTGGTAAACGCTTACCAAATAATTGTTTAACAAATTCTCTTAGATGCATTTTGTTCTTAGAGCAACTCCAATCGAACGGCAAAACCCTAGTTTTGCCGTTCTTTTGGATCCAATCGCACGCCAAAAACACCAACCTTTTGTTGGAAGAAGTTTGTGAACGGCGTATTAGTCCTGAGACGCATTCACACCAAAAGGGTGGTCCCCACCACCATTTCTTAAATAAATAATTTTTTAATAAATTATAAATAAATAATTACAAATATTAATTTTTAGGTTTTTATATTTATTATGTAAATTTATATACATATATATATATATATATATAATAAATTATTAATAACACAAATATGATACCGGATAAACGTAAACATAGTTTATTAATGGATTAATTGATCATTTGAACTTCGTAATGCATTAATTGATCATTTGTGGGACGAATATACTAACTCGGATAATTAGTATTATTTATGTGTTTTTTTAATTTGTACTATTTAAACTAATGTAATCTTTTTAAATATAAAATTTATTAATTAAAATTTTATCGTTTTTATTTTAACGTGTCCTCATTAAATAAATTAAAACTAATTATTTATTATTATAATATTTATTACAAATTATAAATATTATTATTAAAAATAGTAAATAAAATATGTTATTTTAATGTAGGGTCTATAAATTATGTGTTTTTTTAGAGTGATTGAAGTTGAGTTTTTTTTAGTGTTTATGGGCCCACCATATTTGGTAATTTTGGTGTTTTTTTTTATATGTAAAGGTTAGAGTTGCTCTTAGTCAAATATATGAGGTACTAAATGTGAAATTATGGACATGACTCATTCCCTCTCGTTCGTGGTCTTTTTTCCCTTTCAAAATTCCAAAAAGATTTAGAGCCAACGTTCGTTCACCGACTGAAGCGAAACCACAAGCTAGGGTTCTTCATCTGCAGGAATTCAGTATACTTCAATTGTTATTCATGTCATGCTCATTGTTCAACTGCGAATTTCTAGAATATCTTTGCAAGGGGATGGGCTCTTTCTTCGGCTGTTTCCATGTCAGAGATGATCTTCGCCCTCAGATTAATCTCGTTTCTCATCCGATCACTGCAATCGCCAAGGTTAGATTTCTAAATTGAGGTGATAGATAAGAATTTCAACTAAACGTTATTGTTTTTTGAGTTTTGTTTTTTTTGTTTTCGGCGTTCAGGAACCTGTCGATTCTTTGTCTAGCAATGGCTTGTGGTCTGTATTAGTTCCGGCAGGTGATTGATCAACCTTATCTTTCGTATTATCGGCAATTTTTTGAAGGAGGTTTCATCGATTTTTTATTTCTAATTATTTTGAACGTTCATCTAATTGTTCATATCACAGCGAAGTACAGATTTTATGCTTTTGATTTATATTCCTATGTTTGTAACTTCTCTGTAAGAAATGTACATTTCCTTGCATTCGTGTTGATGAAGTGTGTATATGCTATTCAGCGGAAGATAGCCATCACTCACAATGCAGGGAACGGAAACATGGTGTTGTAGGGTCTCCACTTCCAGATAACGAGCTTAGGGACGAGGTAATTATCTCTCTAATGTACAATACAAGAATATCCAAGCTGCAGACACTGATTGTACATATTGCAAGAGCACCACTAATGCAGGCGCCACGATCTTAGTTTGTATATATACACTATAAAGTTACATGAAATGTCCAAATTCCGTCCAATTGCTATGGTAAAGTGCGTCTCAACACTCTAGATGTCACTACTGCTAAATTGCACAACTGTGTCCTTGTCACTATTCCACCAGTTTCAAATTCAATGGGCATTACGCATTTTGATAATCCTATTGTTATGTGGCATATATAGACGTCTTTAACTTTTCAGATGCCTGTTTTGCAGAAGTCCAGGAATGGACTTCCCCAAGATCTTATAAAATTAACTCATTAGCTTGAATTTCAATAAGACAAAAAATCATGTGTGCTTGTGAGAGAGAGAAAACTTGCTTCGTTTTGGAGTTGAAGTCTTGAGTCTTCAGATTTGACCTTTCCATATTCTGTTTTGACTTCAACCATGAGGCCCTAAGTTTTTGTCTCTCACTTTTGACCTCCGCCTTTGAACACAGAGGTATTCGTCATTCACCTTTTACACCAACATTCAACTGTGAAAAAACAATAATAGAGTAAAGCAGAAGACCTATATCTGCAAGGCCAAAAGTAACAGAAAATCCTATAATCTGAAAATTGAATATTTTATTCAGAAGACAACTAATGTTTGAGTAATATTTCCTAAAGGCTTAAGATTAATGTTGAACAACATCTACGTAATTACTCCAAGTAAGGCAGACAAAGGTTGATTTGAGTTACTCATATGATTTTGTTATGTCCTTGTATGGCTTAATATCCGGACGTGAAAACAACTAAATTATAACTTTGCAGGCGAAATTTCTCAAAGCTTGTGGAACTTTACCCCAGACTCCAGCTGAAATCCGGAACACTGAGAAATTAAAAGATTCTCGACCCTGTAATGGAGATGCAGAATTTACATTCCGTTCATGGCTTCCCAACACAAACTACACATCTTTTGAAAAGTTATTAGAGAAGCAACCTGATCAGTTGCATTCTCCAACCAAACTTTTTGAAGAATGGGAGAATGGATCAGATTCTTCATCACATTCACCAAACAGGTAATTCATACTCTGACAAATGTCCAAAAATCGGTGTCATTTTCTGATTTTGATTTTCTCATTAATTAATTGTTAACAGTAGCTCAAGATCTGGTGTCTGTAACTCAGTTTCAAAATGGTTTTCAAGATGTGACTTCTCTTCACATAGTCTACGCTCTACATAAATAGTATGATACACTGCATTTTTACTTTACACATGAGAAGTATGCTACTAAAAAGTTGTTTGGTGTGGGTACTTGGCCTTCTCTAGCCATATAACAGGGAAATATACAGATAGTCTCTGTACTAGCTCTTCTGAAGTCTGTGGGGTTGGACATGCTGTTAAAGACACTCAGGCACTGAATTCCTCAACCTCATGCACACCGATGGTTCCAAGCATGCAGTGGAAAAACAAATMTGTTYGCTTTGAAGGCCAAAATGATGCATRTTCAATTTCATCAAGAAGCTCTTCACCTAAAATTACTAACCAGAACTTGAAGCCATCAGGATCACCATTTGATCACAGTGTTTCGAAGCCTTCGCCTTACCCAACCCCTCTCAAATTAACCGATAATATGCAAACACCTGGCACTGTCTTCCCTTCATATGTATATAACAAAGAAACTGGGAAGAACCCGAGGATCAAATTACAGTATGTGTACTCAGGGGTAAACCCTGAGAATTTCTCTCAGTTTAAGGCACCAATAGAATCATTGTTTAGTTCCACTGAATGCTCTGCTCTAGTGGAAGAATCTGTTGAGCAGTCTGACGAAGAAACCCCCCAATCACAAGTGAAGTTAGAAGCAAATGCAAGTGAAAAGGAGGTAAATGGGGATGCTACTTTGTCGTCATGGTTACCACCAAAGTCAAGCTACGAAGGCTGCAAGGATCAGAGTTTGGTTCCCATTTCTCAGGATCTCCCTGACTTTGGTAGAACTCCTGGGGAGAGGCCTATACTGGGGATGGCTGCAGCTCACTGGAATGCTGAGGGCACTCCTGTCTTACCCAAGTGGTGGGATGGTAATGGCATCCCTAATACAACTACCAAGTACAAAGAGGTAAATTTTATTTATTCTCTTGATCTAATATTTACCAAGTCCATTCATGGTTTGTATGTTGTAACTACATTTCCTTTTGAGTGGATAGGATCAGAAGGTTAGTTGGCATGCCACACCATTCGAGGAAAGATTAGAAAAGGCGTTATCTGAGGATAAGTTCGTGAATGAGAGGTAAGTCATACTTTGTTCGGCCTCTTTTGACTTGTTTACTCAGATTTCTTCTGTGCTTAATTTGTCATTTACTTCTACTATGCTACTTGGTTCAATATAAGTTTAGAAATTATGGTCACTTTCTGCAATCTCCTCTCATTGATAGACAGACACCTTTATGAAATTTTCGGGTAGAATTATGTTGGTTTAGATGAAAGGTTATATGCGTAAAAAGTTACAAAGTTGCCAAGTGTTTTGAACACATTGAGGAACTGACTTTTGAGTTCAGTTCAGTTGGGTTCCACCATATTTTAAATCATGTTTGATTATATATTTTGATCATTCCATCGGAATGATTGTCGTATTTTCTTCTGAATCACAAAACGACCAATTCCATCAAAATGAATTTCAATGAGTTTAAGATCACGTAATTGGCCTCCTAGGACTTTAGCATCCGCCACCATTTTGATTAGCAAACAATTGTTGAATTAAACATTTCAAAAAATGACAACCTTTCTAAATTTGTGATCGTCAATTGGTTTTTCTGAACTTCAAAGGAACTTTCAAAGGGGCCATTTACCGAACGTCTACCGGGTAAGCGCTTACCTAGCAAGAATCCCCATCCTTGCTTACCTTATCGGTAACATTCTCGGCTATTAAAACATAACCAAACCAAACCAAATAGACCCAATCTGTGCCACTCGGAGAGTAAGCTTAAGCATAAACGGTGAACTTTAGGAGATATTTTTTAAAAAGATTTTGAATTTTGTTTCTCTTTTTAGGATAATTTTTTTTAAAAAATCTGTTGGAGATGCGCTCAACTCCTTAACACTTCATCCACTTATATGCCGGTACTTAATTTTTACGGTTGAAGTTGTTGGTTGGCAGGAAGCAAGTTGTGGAGACATTGCCTATTGAATTTTGATGAGAAAGGACAAGAGAAAGAATGCTGGATTTGAGATCCATTCTTGGAGGTATTTCTAGTCTTACGAACATCATCATGCTTCTCAAAAAGAATAAACGTGTCTCAGAACTTTTAAGGAATTTTACATCAGTTCCGTTACGTCAAACAGTCAAAAGCCACAAATGCATACATATATAACAAACACTACTATCAATGTCTCTTATAACTGGTCTTTAAGGTATAATCATATATTGGTTTGAAAGTCAGACGTGAAAACGAAATTTAGGTCGTTTCGGCCATTTCTTTTTTCATTTTTCATATATTGTTTTCATGATATTTTACTTTGTTTTTTTTTCCCCGGGTGACAAGTGTTACCTAAAAAGAATTGCATACTTAGGGGTCGTTTACTCAATACTTGTTCCTAGTAAGAACCAACACTTTAACTTAATTCACCGGATAAAATTTTAGTTCATTAAAACGGTATCGTATGCAACAATTTGTTCGGTGAACGCTTACTGGGTAAGATTTGCTATCCTCACTTGTTGGATAAGATTCTCAATGTTAGTCATGTTCGTCTGATAAGGTAAAGTGACCCGGTAAACACTTACTAGGTAAGTGTTTAGTAAATGGTTCATAATATATACTTCAAAATCAAAACTTAGGAGTTGATATCTTTTGAAGCTTGAGTTATGTCGTTAAACAAATATAAAGTGAGTAAATAGCAAGGTTCTAAATAGCGTGACATGGTGGTAAGGTTAAACTTTAAACCTTACATGTCATGGCAAAGACGCAACATTTTTCAAGGAGTGATATAAGACGACAAATTTATATTTCATATATAATTATACACACACACAAATGTCTTATATTTATTAATCAATAATATAATGATATTAGAAAAATTGCATTCATATTACAAGAAGAAACATCATGCATATACTAATTAGTATTATATAAAAAGTTTTATGATCAAATATGCAAAACAGAATTTGCAAGAGTTTTATAATTTCATTTTAACTGTAAGTTTATGACGTATGTGAATCCATGATACTGAGTGATGTGATCAAGTAAATTTATAAAAGTGTAAGAATACAAAGTTAAAAAAAATTAAAAAATTAAAAAATTCGAAAAAAGTAACATCTTGTAAAAACATATATATCATGATGTGAGTCACGCCTTATACAAATACTAAAAGAACATGAAAGAAAAAAAGAAAATATAGCATACATATTTGGAGATGCTCTAAGAGGATGAAGAAATCTTCAATATGTATATTATATTTTCTAAATTTAAAGATTTCTATGGTGTCTCGTTTTTTTTTTTTTTTTCCCTTCTATTTCAAAAAATAATTTAACATAACTATTAGAGCAAATATATTATAGTTTTTAAAATACTATAGCGATTGAAGATACTCAAATTTTTTAAAAAAAAATGTGTATAAATAAATACTCAAATTTGAAAAAGAGTAAAACATTACTAGTGAATAACTGAATATTTTATAAGGAAAAATAAATATATTTAGATATTTTTAATATCTAAATGGATGAATCATGAATCCATCAAAATATTACTCTATATAAAATTAATGCATCTATTGGATCATAGAATCAAGTTTTTAAATATACAGATTATTGGATTATTAAATCATTTTTTATATATATTAGATCAGATAAAAATTCAGATAAAATCATAGTTAAATTATGATTCAACTTATGGATCAAATAAGCTAATATATAGAATTGGTTTTCACCATATTTGTATGGATATAGTACATATTTCATAGGATAAGATAAAGCGAATAAAACAAGTTGGATAACAAATCAAAATAAATTCAAGTCAAAAGGGTCACTAATGAAATACCGCATTTAGAAGCTCATTTACTCCGAAATTTAGACAAAAATGGAATTGTAATGCTGGGATCTTAGGAGGAAACATGTGATATTTTAGTAGGTAAATTAACACCCCAAATGGTGAAAGAATCATCGTATTCCCCGGAAAATTAAAAATGAATGGATAGCTAGGAACACTAAGGAACACAAAGGATTCATAATAGAGATTATGTAAGTCTATTTTTCTGTGTATAAAAAGAATTCTAATTGGGGTTTTCATGCCCCTTATACCCTGGGCGACAATCGTGCTATAAGGTTTTCATGAGGCTGATCTTGAGTCGTTATCCAAGCACGAATACCTTTGTTTAACATGTAAAGTTTGTTACAGGTTTAAATGGTTGGAAAATTAGGTTGGCCTGCAGCCGCCTCCTTTTGTCTATCATTTTTAATTTCATTAATTACTGATTAAACATAATTACAATAATCATTATAATTTTGTAATGAAAATGGTTAAGAAAATTGTAAACATTCAAGTTTACAAGTTGAATGTTTTTTAAACTTTCTATAAATAGCTGACAATTGATAAACCAGTTCTGAAACCATGAAAACATTCCATTAACTGTTTACAAATTTGTAAATATAAACACAGTTAAAAACATTGCAATATAAAACCTTGGTTTATATATATATATATATATATTTTTTTTTTTTTCGTTTCCTATTTCAATTTTATAACTTTAAGATGATAACAGAACTAGAAAAGATCAAGGTTTTTGAGAGAAAAAAAAAACATATAACCATGAAAATACTGATGAAAAAATATATTAAAATGAAGGTCAAATTTAGTTGATTTTGTGACATTTTTATTTTTTCTTAAAAGTTGGTTATAACTTATAACCACTTTTTAATCATATCCATTGTATCATCTCAATATAATGGTTTTGATGGATGCTTCAATTTTTTTTTCCTAGCGTTCTCCCATGATCTTGTGTCATGGTGTTTTTTAATAAAAATTAGATCATGACAAATCTATATACACTTTCCACTTTTTTAATCATATCCATTGTATCATTTCAATATATTTTAGATTTAGAAATAACATTTGACATTTCTTCTTATATACACTTTCTTTAACTTATTTTAGATAAAAACATGGACTATCCAAAAGCATTTAATTAAACATTACATATGATTTGTGACTTTGATAACATATGAACATCTGATATCCCATAAAAAAAATTGAGAATTATATGAGTGCGGTGTTTAACACATTTGACTTGAAACATCTCACATAAACAAGAAAAAAAATCCCCGATTTCCAGTTGGGGATCTCCGTTCCCCGTCAAAGACGAGAACGGAGATCAAGGACCAGATCCCAATTCCCATGCCTATTCATAAGTACGCCTCTGATCTCGATGATAATTTTAAGTTGATTTAGAACTTATTAAGGGGCCGTTTACCAAACACTTACCTGGTAAACGCTTACTGGTAAATTAACACTATCATTTACTTACCAGATAAGATTTTAATCCACCAAAACGATATCGTATGCAACAATTTACCCGGTAAACGCTTACCGTGGTAAGAGTCGTTGCCCTCACTTACCAGGTAAGACTCTTGGTCCTTGTCTCACTCTTACCGGGTATAATTTTTTTATCCTTACTATATTCATCCGATATGTAAAATAACTTAATATTCATTTACCCGAGTAAGCGTTTGATAAACAACCCACCGCTATTCCCCAAAAAATGAGAAAAGCATAAATTTTGAATCCCTCCACTTTCAGCTTCTAGATAAGCGATTCGTCGAGGTTTTAGCCATTTTCATTAAATTGTAAGTTAGTGTCATTTTTTATACATATAATACGACCAATTAAAATTAACTATTTTTAAACCAGACGTAATCAAAATGAAGCAGTTGGGAGGTAGAATATATTGGCCACAACAGGTAACCAATCTTTTCTCTAATTTCTTTAATTATATAATATATTAACAGACAATATTTGAATCGTTAAAAGATGAATTTTGTTTGACAAATTTTTCTTTTTACTTTTTAATGGGTCTAAAACTCTCTGAATCACTTTGTATCATGGGTCTCCTTTAACCATTCAGCACCCTAATTTCATTGTAAACAATTATATTTCTTTTTACGATATATCATGAGAGCCACTTAATCATTCTATACCAAACCGTTCAACAACTGTCAAACAACCCCTAAATATATGAAATAACATTAAAAAAAACATCATATACTTGTAAACCTCGTATTATTTTATCATGTTTATTTTTAATGATTTTAAAAAATTTATTATACCTTAATCCACACAAAAAAAATGTGTGTGTGTGTATATATATATATATAGTATATATTAGATGGTGGTTAGATGGCTTTTGTTGTTGAGACTTGGGTACTTTAGGTTAACCTCCAAACCAACTCTTTCCCAACAAAATAAAACCCCCAAATTCTGGATTACCCTAAATTCACCTAAATTGGTCAAATATCATCCCACTTGTACACTCACCACCCTCCATTTCTGCTCACCAAATCCATTTCTCATGCACGCCAAGCAACACCCTCATATAACACATGACTCCCCTCCCTGCAACACCATCACCACCACCATGTTCAATTCTTCCATTTCCCTCTCTCCCGCCACCGCCACCGCCACCACCACTGGCCACCTCTTCTTGCCGCACCTTCAGATGCTCGAGCTTCTCGTTGCTCTTCTCGTTTTTCTAGTCATACATTCTCTAAGGCAACGACAACGGCAAGGCCTTCCCGTGTGGCCTTTTCTTGGAATGTTGCCTTCCTTGGTGCTTGGCCTTCGTGTCGATATGTACGAATGGATTTCCCAAGTTCTTTGTCGGCAAAACGGGACTTTTGTGTTCAAAGGCCCATGGTTTACCAACCTGAACTGCGTAGTCACTGCGGATCCTCGAAACCTCGAGCATCTTCTCAAAACCAGGTTTCAAGCGTACCCGAAAGGTCCGTATTTCAGGCATGCCCTCCGGGATCTTCTTGGGAATGGAATCTTCAATGCTGATGACGAGATCTGGCAGCGGCAGAGGAAGACAGCGAGCATCGAGTTTCACTCGTCAAAGTTTAGAAACATGACGACCGAGTCACTACTGGAGCTCGTCCACCAAAGGCTATTGCCCGTCTTGGAGGATTCTGTTGAACGATCTACTGCAATTGATCTACAGGATATCCTCCTGAGACTAACGTTCGATAACGTTTGTATGATCGCTTTCGGGGTTGATCCAGGGTGTTTAGATCCTGGACTTCCGGAAATTCCGTTCGCTCAAGCCTTTGAAGCGGCCACGGAAGCAACTATACTACGCTTTGTCACTCCAACTCTTATATGGAAGATCATGAGGCATCTGAACTTGGGATCAGAAAAGAAATTGAAGCAGTCGATAAAAGGAGTAGACAATTTTGCAGATGAAGTTATTCGAACTCGGAAGAAAGAAGTGTTTTTGCAGTCTGAGGAGAAGAAACTGAAGTCTGATCTCTTAACAATCTTTATGGGACTAAAAGATGAAGAAGGACACCCTTTTTCAGACAAGTTCCTACGTGATATCTGTGTAAACTTTATACTCGCTGGAAGGGACACTTCTTCGGTGGCATTGAGTTGGTTTTTCTGGCTTCTTGATCGTAATCCAACGGTGGAGGAAAGAATTCTGGGCGAGATATGTCAGATTGTGAAGGATAGGGAAGATGAGAGCGAAAGTGAGGATCTAATATTTAGACCACAAGAGGTGAAGAAGATGGAGTATCTGCATGCTGCTCTATCCGAGTCCTTGAGATTATACCCTTCAGTACCAGTAGATCATAAGGAGGTAACATTTGCTACTATCTAACAACTATACTATCATTTTATGGTATCTTTTTTTTGTAACCGTGGTATCTGACACCTTTGACCTAACTAGTCTACTGATCCATACAAAGGGTCTTTTCCACGTGGCCCGCAAAACCTTAGGCCTTTCGGCTAGTGGGCATGGCAGCAACCAAACGTAACTAGCTCAGTATATCCCACTTCAAAGGTGAGGTCTGGGAGGGTGAGATGTACGCAAACTTGTCCTAATGTTTCATGAGGCACTAGGTCCTTAAGTGATCGACTACTAGTTCTACAAGCTCATACTATTGTTTCTCACGAAAAATACGAAATACAGGTTGTTGAAGATGATGTCTTTCCAGATGGGACGATCTTGAAGAAAGGAACAAAAGTGGTTTATGCAATCTATGCAATGGGAAGAATGGAAGCGATATGGGGAAAGGACTGCAGAGAGTTTAGGCCAGAGAGATGGCTAAGGGACGGGCGTTTTATGAGTGAATCAGCCTACAAGTTCACAGCATTTAATGGTGGACCGAGGTTGTGCTTGGGGAAAGACTTTGCCTACTACCAGATGAAATTCGCTGCCGCCTCCATCTTATACCGTTATAAAGTGACGGTGGTGGAAAATCATCCGGTAGCACCAAAGCTTGCACTCACTATGTACATAAAGAATGGGCTGAAGGTGAAGCTTTCAAAGCGTAGCAAGTCTGAACTCCAAATGTATCACAATATCAAATATTGAGCTCCTGATGAAGATGTGTGGTGTTTATGTGTTCTTTTTCTTTTGTAACTTATTCTTTCTATATGATTTTTGTTTCAAACCATTATACATTTATAAGTCAGGATTGTATTGCAGAAAATGCAGAAAGATGATAGACAGACTGTCAAGAATAGATGGAGATGCATTTTATTGTAACTTCCATATAAATAAAGGATTTTCGTGGTGCTATTCATGTTCAAGTTGCTACTTGGCAAATAAGAAGTATACTAGCCTAGTAGCCTTCCCCCTCCATCCTGTTGCACCAGGGTTTCTCGGTTTCGTGAAGAATGGATGGAAGTCTATATGGGCCTGATTGTTTGTTTAATTAGCCTATTATATTTCATATGCCTTGAATAACGTTTAAAAGTGAGTAGTTTGGAATATAAATAACGATTAACATGGAAGATGTTATGCAAGAAAAACAAAAAATTTAGCATACATACATGGACAAAGATGGTGTTTCTACCTTGTTTCAAACTTTCCCTGTCCATTCTTCATAAAATTCATGTAGGAACTCCTCCATGAACTTGTGCCTTTTCTCGGCCCTTCTCTTCCCTGCCTGAAATCCAAACAAATCCTTGTAAATCTTTAAGAAAGCTACTCCTCCATTACAGAAAAAAGAGTCTATGCTTGAGTTTGGGTGTTCAGTAAGCCAATTGTTACCTTCAAATTTGGTAACAATCGTTTTGGATGTGGAGAAGCTTTAGTAAGTAGAGAACTATAAGGTACTCCAAAATAAAATAATTATGGAGCTAAAAAACTAAAAACATCTACATAAGGTGTGAACTTCTAAGATCAAATATGAACTCTGTTTAAGACAAATGTAGGAATGAGAAATTTGTATCCTCTAGAGCCACAAAATACCTTTAGGAATTTGATGCATTTAAAGACGTGTGTAATATGACAATACAGAAGAACGTAGCACATCTGGCAAAAATATAACCACCTTTGTTTTCATTAAATCCTTGAGCTTAAGGAGCTTCTCATGAAAATGATTCACAGTAGTTTGGTCATCTTTCTTCATGTATTGGGCCTTGGACAAATCCAATCGAGGCTGAATGTTAGGATCGTGAAGCACTCTATTTCTACTTCCACCAAATGTAAAACAACGAGCAATTCCTGGAACCAAAGTCATTCAGATGTATCTTCAGGATAAGGGATCAAAAGTAAGACTCCTTTCAAGCTCAAAAGTATAATACACAAAAAGCACCCAAAGAATTCTCTCTCTTTTTCCCAAGAAATGAGTCCACTTTAAAATCTAAATGATTCAATACAAATTACACATTCTTCGTTAAAACGATGGGTAATTTAGGATTCTTTTTCTTAAAGTAACATTACAAAACGAACTTTTTGGGGACAGAAGGAGATATTTACTTGGACAGAAATTTAAAGATCCTTTGATGATGAGATAAGTTGAGAGTAATATATAGCATAATCCTGTCCAGATTCACTGAGACATGATGCTTTATGTTTAAATATCTTAGCATATAGCTAGCTCAAGATGTATATAGTTACTACATCCCATTGTGTTCGCTGAATTTGTAGCATATAAAGAATACAATTGACTAGCTTTGAGCATTAATGGGAAGATGCAAATTTACCAATAGCACCAATAGCATCAAGACGGTCTGCATCTTGCACAACGCCAAACTCCGGTGTATAAGAACCATTCAAGACCCCCTTTAGTTCCTCTTTAAAACCTTAATGTTTAAGACTGAAGTATCAGATAAAGCAACAATTCACGTTGACAGAAATTCCCAATGCACAAATTCAACAAGCTGCATTATTGTTCAATCAATATACTTTGTAAATATGCCTTTTCACCCCTTTAAATGACTCCTGTGTGTGTAAATATTTGCAAGCCATCCACCTCACATCGGTTAGGCTTGCGCTTGTGCCTAGGCCACATGCAATTAAAGGCGGAATCAGGCCTCGAGGTGTTTTCTCTCAACGAGGCAAGGCGTAAGCACGAGGCAGAAATATATATACATCAAAATATGTATATATACTACACATATATACATTTTATAATACTAGTGGGAGATAGGCTGAGTGAGTGTAAAAAAATTGGTTGCTCGGAGGAAGGGGTAGGGTCCAACCACACTTTTTTGATTGAAGGGAGAAATTACTAGCTTTTTGGGTTTTAAAATATTAAAAGCACACATTAGGGCCATTGTGCTTTGACTTTAGTTTTTTAAAATAAAGAAGGCTCTTATACAATAAAAAGAATTACTACTATTGCCACAAAGCTTATAGAAAAGTCAAAGAAACCGTTAAAGCGGATCATCTGAGGCGTACGCCTCAACATTGCCTCACGCCTCACCAAACCACCTCACTGAATTGAGGCATAAGCCTTATCCAGGGTCCAAGAGCGCCGCCTCAGGTGCGGTTTTGGGCCACCGTGCCTCGAGGCGGGCCTCGAGGTGTAAGCCTCAAACAATTTTTAAAACCATGCATGCAACATTTTTGCCCCATAAATTTTATTTTGCTACAGATTTTGTTTGGTTTAGTGTATTTTCTTATTTTTACTTGAAAATAAATACCATCCTTGATCAATTTTGAAGATAAAAGGTAACCATATTATACTATATTATAAAGCATTTGACAAAAAATCTTAAAAACCATTTTTTATGCATGAAGTATTGTTTATTGATGCATATTATTTAAAATTCAAGATTACAAGTAATTTTGCGTTAGACAACTTATTAAAGCTCCATTTTTAAATTTGTGTAACTAACTACATATAAACATAATCAAATACTGGAGAAACATCCATTTTAAATATAGAAAATCTAAAATATAATTAGGATAATCATTGAGTTCTAACAGAATTTTAATTATTATCTTTATAAAAAATTATATTATTAAACCAAAAATAAGTTACTTTGTTATAAATCTAAATTAAATTGTAATAAAAATTTGAATTAAAAAAGTTACACCAAAAAAACGAAAACTATTAAATAATTTAATTTGATACTAATATCAATTTACTTTTTTCAAATTTTTATGCTATCCTCAAATTTATATTTCATTCAAAAATAACAACATTATCGCTTTCTCAAAACTACATAAAATCGTAGTATATCCATAATAAAAACTAAACATTAAAATGGAGATTTATCTCGCTGCATTGCATGAGTATCCTTCTAGTTTTATAATGACAATATAGAGATGGTTTGAGGAATTCCTTTTCGCTTGCTTGTTGTCTAAGCTCCAGTTAGCCTAAGCTAAAACAGAGGGGCTTTGGAGTACATTCCGTATTCCTTATGCTAGGAATTCAGTCCCCCTTATACCCTGGGTGATAAGTGTGCTTCAATGGCCGGGACAAAGGGTCGCGGGACCAAAGGTGGAAGGTTGAAGTCTCATGGGAGACATTTCTAGGGTGTGTAAACCAAATCAAACCAAACGAACAAAGTAAATCCCATACATAGTAGGATCGGAGGAGGTAAGATGTAAGCAGACCTTTCCTCTACCCCAAGGAGTAGAAGACCCCGGATTGCAAAATAAGCTTTCTGTGAAGACATTTTAAGGGTGTGTATTTGTTAATAATATCTAAAAGCTAAATGAATCTTTGTAAATATAACTTACCCAGTCCCTTTATAATATCTAAAATCTTGCTACTTTTGTCCATATCCATGCCCTCTTTTGCAAGAAATTCCTCTACAATTTTCTCCTCTGATGGATTCCTGCATCACGAAAAAATATAGCAGAAACCATTGGAATTGGATGGTACAAAGCGAAGGAGAAATATGAAACAGTTAAATATATGAAACATAACATAATTTCATATAATTCTCAGAGAAAAACTGGAATCCATAATAACTGGGAAGTTGAAACGTAAACTTTTGATTTGAAAAGGTTGTGATGCAGACGCATTGATAGGTGCAGAGACTCGATGGAAGCTGTTCTAACGAATGGAGCCTTTCCTCGTTTGAACCTCGCTCTTAATTACTAGCACAAAAATTGTAGTCGGTTGTCAGTCACGATGTAACTGCATTTGAGAAATCACAGAACTCCATGACTACATATTAACATTTCACTGACCTTTCAAAAGAAAATATTGCCTTAGTTATATTAGAACCCTCAAACCATTTGAAAAAATAAGCTATTACACGGAAAATTTTACGGGAAAAACACATTCACAACATCATTTACCAAAAATTGATGACTGTATAAAGAATGAGGGGTACAATTGTAGTTTACTTTAAGTTCAAAAGAACCACTAAGATGGATATAAATATTGCTCATAAAAAATGTTTGAAAAAAACAAGGGACCGATTTTAATTTCAGACAAAACCGACAAAAGGCTCATTCAATTTTACAGAGTAATTCTAGGATGCTCTAGGAATCATTATTTGCTACTAACTGCATTTTTATCACTGTTACAAGCTATGATCAAGGTCATTCCTTTTACCCATATACACACATTTCTCATGTAACAAGCAAAGAACTCAGAAATACAAAATGCAATAATTGTCGCTATATTGTCAACGTAGTACTACTTTGCACCAGCCATTTTCATGAGCATAGAAGAGGCAACATTGACCAAGACATTTGGAAGCAGAAACAGATTAGGATCAAATTAAAATCAAATAGAAGGCCTACCTCAAGTATTTGTAGTCTCCTGCATATGAAATAAATATAATCAATAGCAACAAAGGCAAGTGCATATAAGAACAATAATGATGTTATTCTTTCCTTATACGGTAAGGTAAGTTAGAAGCATACTAGGTTCTTGCTATAGATGTTTCTAAACAGGCAATAAGGATAATAAATTTAACTGATAGATATTAACATGACTAGCCTTCAACAAATGAGGCTGAAACAAACTGTGAGCCAGATAAAACATGGATAGACAAGAACCGAGTAAATGTGAGAAACGTTAGCTTTGGGATGACAACACAATAACACAATCCCCCAACCCAGCCCCGCACACCTTTCCATTTGCACAACCCCAGTGAATAATTAATTCAGTTTGCACTGAAACTCTGAAAGAAACAGTTTCTCTTTTAGATAATTCAAGCTTTAAGGAGACATGGTTCTTAAATCCTAAATCAGCAATGGTAGATAACATTGCCTCAGGAGGACGACTGGAAGAGAAGCAACTACCTATATCGTGAAGGAGTGCAGCAAGCTCAACCTGCAACAGCAGTAAGATAAATATCAAAATTCAAAACAGTTGGCTTCTGAATGATGGCATTATAAAATATTATATGAGAGGGTAACCTCGAACAGCAATATAAGAAACAATGATAAATATGATCTGCTTCTACAAGAAAAAGAGTCCACACTTGACTTTTGAGTGTAAATTCAACTTCAAAATTCATAACACAGTTTTGTTAGCTTTTTCGTATGTTCTCATTTTGGTTTTACTTTGTTTAAACACGATTGCTTAGTTATAGTTTTTACCACTTTCATGTGAGGCTATAACTCCGAATTTCAGATTTCTACGAAAATATTCCATGGGGACGGAAGAATGGGCATCATTCACAAACATCAATCACTAATTGAAGGTCAAAACTCAAATATGAATATAGCATTTAGTTTTGAAACACATCGAGGAAGGAAAGCGAGCAAGGTCAAAGGAAGTATGTAATGAACATACAATTTCCAGGGAGATTGGTGAAGAAGAGAGGACTTCCTCGTGAGCAAGAGAGAGAGCAAGGTCTCGAACCCGGAAGGCGTGAGCAGGATCGTGAGATGCATCGTTACCTTTCATCATCACTTCCACCAATCGCTCTGCGTTTGCTACTGTTTCACTCTTCGCCATCACTTTCTCCCTTCCAGGTAGGGGGTTAGGGGTTTAGCAGAGGATAATATACGGAAGGATTTGTGTAATCTTTCTTTATTCATGAATCAATATCCGATTATTTTAATGAGAAGTTTAAGGGCGGTTAATAACCCGGAAGGCTGTTTGCAACATCTATAAGTTAAAATCGGATGAATTGATATATTAAAAACCAGAAAGTATTTACGAAAATACATCATTATTTTAATATTTTATATTATTTTGTATCTTAGTCGATGTTATAATATGGTTTTATGTGATTTTAAAAAAGCGATGATGTTTTATTTTTAAATAAAATATAAATTTGAAGATATCATACAAATTTGACAAAAATATATCGATATTGATATTAATTTAAAATTTCTATTGTTTATGTAATTTTTAATTCAATTTTTTATTATAATTTAATTTAAGTTCAATTACGAAGTAATTTATATTTTGTTTAATAATATAATTTTCTTATAAAGATAATAATTAATTTTTTTGTTATAACTCGATAATTATCTTAATTATATTTTAGATTTTTTATATTTTAAAATGAAATATTTATCATCTATTTGATTATGTTTATCCGCAATTAGTTACACAAATTCAAACATGGAACTTTAATATGTTGTACTTATGCATAACTTACTTGTAATCTTGTATTTTAAGTAATATGCATCAATATACAGTACTTCATGCATAAAAAATAATTTTTAAGAGTTTTTTGTTAAATGTTTTATAATATAGTATAGATATAAAAAATAATTATTGATATTAATATGTGCAGAGAATACAATTTAATACAATTAGTTCATTTCTTAATAACACTTTTACATTGCTAATGACACCTCTATGTATTCATTTATTTATTTATTTTATATTTAAATATATTTGCACTGATTGTAATTGATTATAAGGGTACTCGCACAATGCAACGAGATACATCTTGATTTTAATATTTCGTTTTATTTTCTTTTTTGTCTCATTCAATGTCATGATACAGTTTTTATGTGATTTTAAGAAAGTTTGATGTTTTTATTTTCGAATAAAATATAAATATGGAGATATCATAAAAATTTGAGAAAAAAATTATTGATATTAATTTCAAACTAATTATTTAAACTTTCTCCATTTTTTATATTTTTTTAATTATTTTTTAATTTTTGCTTTAATAATATAATTTTTTATAAAGATAATAATTAAGTATTTTATTAGAAGTCAATGACTATCATAGTTATATTTTAGATTTTTTATATTTAAAATAAGATGTTTATCTTTTATTTAATTATGTTTATGTACAGTTAGTTACATGAAGTTTTAATAACGTGTACTTACGCATAATTAATTCTTTTTTTAGTTTTTTCTTTTTTCTTTTATTTATTTATATTATATTTTAATTAATATGAATTGTTAATAAATATATATATTTTTATATTATTTATACTATATGAAATATTAGTAAACATTTGGTTAAGGTCTTTTTTTCTTCTTAACTTTCATTTAAAAATATTAAATACTTATTAATATAAATATTATTTTTTTAATTATTATAAAATAAAATAGATTTGATACATAAAATAATTTATATTATATTTCACTTACTCTAAAATAACTTTATCTCTAATTTAAATGAAACCACACAATAGTGACTTGAATACTATTGTCGTTATTATATTCCGATAATATTAATTGCTGACATTTGATTTTGTGTGTGTATTCATATATGGAAAAAGATGATTACTGGTCTTACCTTTTTTTTTTTTTTCCTTTTTTACTCTATAACATTATTCTTTGCTCTTATTTTCTCTTTTCTCTATTAATGTACAACGAATGAGACTTAAAATTTGTGAGCCTCAAATGGCAAGACTCATATGTAAAGACATACTAAGAAGAGATTGAATGTTCATATAATAGAAGAGGTGATATGGAGAAGATGTGATACTTTCAATACAATCAACACTTCCCTGTTAAGTGGAAGTAGAGCTGAGAATCTTGGAGTTTGGAGGTCAACTCATATCTGTGTAAACTGTAATAAACAAATGGGAGTAATTCAATCAAGAAACAATTATGAATTATAAATTAATTAATAAAGAAAATGTTTGATTTAGGATGAAATTACAAACCTAAACAAGGGTTTTGAGCAGGGGTGCTCAAAAACCAGACTAACTCGATCAACCCAACTCAACCCAACGTAAAATAACTCAAGCGAAGCAACCGATGTATTGGGATACCATTATTTGAAAGCAACTCAACCCGATGAACCCAATATCTTTTTATTTCATGGATTTAATATGATTGTTGAATTTATATTAATATATAGATTAGACAATTACACATCACGTACGCTCTTTATATACACATATTTTCAACATTTTCACATCTTTATATAACTTAGTCCTATATATGTTATGAATATATATATATATATATATATGTGTGTGTGTGTGTGTGTAATTCTAGAAAATTAATTGAATGTGGTATACATAATAAGTATGGATAAGTTGTATCAAATGCTTTTAAAACAACTAGAAGGGTACTCGCGTAATACAACGAGATATATTTAGATTTTAATGTTTCGTTCCGTCTCTATAGATGTTATAATAAAGTTTTTATGTGGTTTGGAGAAAAGAATAATGTTTTTTTATTTTTGAATAAAAAATAAATTTGAAGATATCATTAAAATGAGATGTTTATCTGTATTTGATTATGTTTATCTACAGTTAGTTACACGAATTCAGATATAAAGCTTTAATAAGTTGTACTTACGCACAAATTACTTATAATTTTGAGTTTTAAGTAATATACATTAATAAATAGTACTTTATGCATAAAAATTATGATTTAAGAGTTTTTGTCAAATGTTTTATAATATAATATATATATATATATATATATATATTTATATGTAGCAATATATGTATTTTTAAAACAATATGTATCTTTATATTTCATGTTATATAAAATATATATATTTTATGCAAATATGGGATCAAACCTTATAAAATACAACCCACAACTACTTTTGTAGGTTTCTGGATCAATTGATATGTATCAATTTAGTATGTATACTCGGTGACACAAACTCTAAAAAGGTACAGATGGCAACTTCTGATTGGATAAAAAATGGTCAACAAGTTGTAGAGCTTCTTTGGGTTTGAAAGTCGGTACTTGATGTCCGGCTCCTCTCACCGTTACAAACATTAACCCTTCGTATGCAATCGTCCATCCACCAACCTTCGTTAAAAACAATAATTTTATCAAAAAAACGTTATTATTTATTTAAAAAACGGACGGATTTTTTTAGCGATAGAATTATCGGTCGATATTTTGTTTTATAATGAATTACGAAAATTAATTACCTGATGATTACTATACCACGGAGACCATTCTTCGACTATCTTCAGCCCAAGTTTGGTCAACGAGAGTCTTGTAGCGGTCACGGGAATTCTTCCATCGGTATCTCCACTGAAAACCCAAACACGAATGCCTCCGGCAACTAGTTTTTTGATGGTGGGAAGCATGGAAGGAGGCGCGTCGTTCCAAAATGTGATAGAATCACTGTATAAATACGTATGCTTTACGATAACCAACATAAAACAAGAGGAAGTGGTTCAGTGGAGAGAAAGGGTTGAGTTTGAATGAAAAATACCTACAATGCGTCCATCGGTAGGGAATTCTCGTGGTGTTAGCATGGAGTGCTTCTTGAACATCCGGCTTGTTCAGATACAATTCGGTATATTTTGGTTGGCATGGATCGTACCCTGTTGGTTTCCTATGCCATCCTTTCTGTAGCAAAATCATGCAGTATTAGATCAGTTTGTTTGATGAAGAAATCATAACTGTTAGAAGCAGAACTGAGTGATCAAGACTCACAGGGTTCTTGATTTAGGAAATAGAAACGGGAATCTTGGGAGTGGGAATGGGAATGAGTTTAATCCCTCGTAAACCATGATAAACGTTTCATTCCCTTGTATATACTGATCAATTTCATTATATCAAAACCAAACACCAATACTGATTCCCGTTTTCATTTCTCACCATTTCTTATCCCCGTCCCAACATTTTAAAGAAACGTATAGATGAATAAGTGAGCAAAGCATGTAACGTTTCATGGGTACTCACGTTCTTGGAGAAAATACGAGGGGAAACATGGCCACGCATGTGAGGACGGGTGGAATTAGAGTCAGCGTCAACACATGAGGGTGTATACAAGCTATACATGTCAATTATTCTGTAAACTTGAAAATATCCACTCAAAGCTTCATCACAAGAATTAGACGGTTTGGCGACGCTAAAATTGCATTTGGCCTTGATATCGCTGAGCACACGATCCGATATCACAGCATGATCCCAGGCATAATCGATCATTCCTGTCTGATCGGTTTCATCATCCAACAACGCATTCCCAATCTGCATTTTTTGCATGTCACAAATGGTTTACAACGAGAAAACTGAATCATTTTTGAAAATTAACGAACGCTCACCATAAATCCCTTGAAATTTATGCCATTGCCTTCTGAAATGATCTTGTTGTTATCAAATATAAGTTCAGCTAGTTGTGGAACGTAGTGCCCTGAAAACATATATTTTATACATTAAAAAAAAACTCTCTTAGAAATCTATAACTGTTATATTTTTTCACATATTTGAATGAGAAATTACTTTTAATGAATTTCTTATCTCATAACCCTAGAATTATAACAATTCATATGGCATAATTAAAAGTAAAAATGGTAATTAAGTGAATTATAACTATCTATTTACTAAAGGGCAAATTGCATGAAAAAGTAACGTACTTTAACTTGATTCCTATTTTGAGTAACGTACTTTCAAAACTTCCGTTAAGGTTTTAAACATTTAGGTACTCGGTTAACTGGTTGAAGCATTAACCGGTTACCGTGTTGATGTGATAAGTGATGTGGTATCCAACTCAATATTATTTGCTGAAACATTAACCGGATACCACATCACTCGCCACATCAGCATGATAATCGGTTAATGTTTAAAGCTTTACATGCTACCCAGGTACTTAAATGTTTAAAGCTTTACATCTTAGGTACCATAATGGAACTTTTGAAAGTATGTTACCCAAACTAGAAATCAAGTTAAAGTACGTTACTTTTTCATGCAATTTGCCCCTTACTAAATGATAATACTTATTTTAAGACAACTGAAATAGAAGAATATTTTAGCACGAAAGGAATAAATTTTATTATATATATATATATATATATATAGGGTTGGGTTCACGTAAGACCAAGGGTTTTTCGTGAGACCCGTAAGACCAATTTATGTTCATTGATCAAAGTTATGAATTAATGATCTAATGGTTGCAAAGTTGCAAGGTGGCAATTTCGTAATTAGTGAGAAGTCTCATGGCGTTTATAAATGTTCAGATCTAACGATTGTAAATCTAATCCAAGGGTTGAGAATTGGTCTTACGGGTCTCACGAAAAACCATTGGTCTCACATGATCCCAAGTCTCTATATATATATATATATATATATATATATATATAAAGATAGATAAATAGATAGAGAAAGAGAGCGAGACCTGCATAACTTTCACCAGCAATGTAGAATTCATGAGACTTGTACTGTGGAAATCTTTTAAACCACTTGATCAAAAATATGTACGAATCTTCGGCTGTTAATAAGCGATCATAATTGTTGTTACCAAGTGAAATGGTTTAAAGTATTTTAAAGCGGGGACCAAAAAATGGAGTGCGTTTCATATTTATTAAAAAAACACATTACGTTACATTATATATCCGTACCCGTAATTTTGTCTCCGAGTTGCTTGATGTCACTGCTAGTGTTGGTATATGAGAATCCAACGCCAACCGGAGACTCGAGAAATAGCAAATTAGCAGCTGATACACAAAACAAGAATTTTATCAAGATTTATTATCATATAATCTTGTTAATACAGAGTAAATTGAAGTTTAAACCATCAAACATGAAACAATTAATAAAACCTTCTTAGTTTTACTCTATAATTAAATTTAAAATTATAAAAATAAAATAATACACTTTTTATTAAAAATAAATAAATATATAATAACATTTTTACATATTTTACCTTTATTCCAAGAGTAACGGTTTAAAAAGAGCTCCGACTTGCCCTTGTGAGTTTTAAACGGTCCTAACTCCTCTAAATTCCCGAATCCGATTGATGAACATCCTGGACCTGCATTAAACATCGTCAAATAAATCTAAGCTCTCCCAACATCCTTAAACTGCACGTATTAAACCTAGAAAGCATCAACCAACCATCGAAACCACACAACAGACTCCCACCAAGCTACGAACCAGCCCAGCACAACAACCTATTTAAAACGTACTATGTTTAAAATAAATGAATTTTCATTCGATTATCATTCTAGAGACATATTTTCAAAAAACGTATTATCATATAATCTTTGACCAATAAAATCTACCATGTTGAGTTTTTCGTTTATATATATTTGAATCAAACAAAACCCTTTAATTAAATAAAAATTAATATGACCTAGGGGTCGTCTATCAAACGTTCATCCGGGTAAGCCCTTACCAAGTGATATTACCTCACCGAATGAAAATGATAAGGACCAAGAATCATGCGCGGTAAGATGACAAGGACCATGAGTCTTATCCGCGCGATGACTCTTACCACGGTAAACGCTTACTGGGTAAATTGTTGCATGCGATGTCGTTTTGATGAACTAAAATTTTACCCAATAAGTAAATAATAATGTTGAATTTTACCAATAAACACTTGGTGCGTAAGTATATGATAAACGAACCATTATAATAATTATAAACAAAAAAAAATGGGATTGGGGGATGTGGATAGAAAAGAAATATGAACAAAAAGAGGCCTGAATAATTTTGGGCCCAAAAGCTGACCGTCTTTTTGTTGGGTCAAAAGGCCGATTTGGATGAAACGTCCCTTTCAACTTTCAAATACAACCAGTTTGAGAGGATTATCGGAAAGTGAGAACGACGTCGCATGCTTCTCATGCTTATGATTTGACACTTAGGGATTGTTTACCAAATGCTTATTCTGATAAACGTTTACTAAGTCATATTACCTCACTGGATGAATATGACAAAGACCAAGAATCTTACCCGGTAAGAATGAATGCAAGGACTGAGAGTTTTTCATAAAGTTCTTCTTAGAAGTTTAATGTGTAAGAGGCTATTTGGAAGTCGCTGAATGGTTTGATGCAGAATTATTAAGTGATCAAAATGATTAAAAAAACTTTTATAATATAGTGCAAAATGAAATATAATTGTTTGGTAGTTATTCATAATCAAATTAAGGTGTTGAATGGTTAAGAGAAGCCCAAGATACATAATCATTCAAAGAGTTTTAGAACCATTAAGAGATGGTTTTTATTTTTGTCAAACAAGATTCACTTGTTAGCGATTCAGATGTTGCCTCTTAATGTTGTAGTGTCTCATCCGAACTCGATTACCACGCGAACCCTGATTGTAATTTTTCATTCTATTTTATATGCCATGTGTCACATTACTATTGGTCAAGTTATATTTTTATTTTATAAAACTTATCTGATAAAAAAACGACTTTAACAAGAAAATTAAAAAATAATAAATATACCAAAATTCATTGTTTCAATTCTCTACAAATAGATCTCAACATTGACATGTTTTCATCACACCAGTCTTTCTTTTCATTTCAATCCTCTCTTTATTTTGCAAATTTCAAATAAACTTCCAGTTTCTTTCAATTTTCTGCTCAATCAACTGAATTATCTATTGAACATATTTCAAACCTATTTCGTTATATGGCTAACAGAGAACAACTTCACAATAAGGAAGCTCATAACACTCGAAAAAATGATTTGATCGAGGATATATGGGAAAAATTCGGTCATGATAATTAACTACGATTATTTATGTATTTCAGATTTGTAATTTCGTACTTATTTTTGTTACTTGTTTTATTTAATTTCAATTTTATGCTAAGTTTTTTAAAATTTTAATTACGTTTTAAAATACGTAATGGTCCGTTTATTATATTCTTATACTTAAAATTAAAAATTATATATATATATATATATATAATTAAATATACGATTTTTATAAAATAATATTTTTGATTAGATTGGATTAAAGCGGATTATGGTTAAATGATAAAAGAAGTATGATTGAATTGAAGTTGAAGATTGTATAGATGAATGAAATAGAGAGTAATATTTCAATTAAGATTGAGTTATAAATGATCGTGAGTAAAGATGGTCTTATGATAAAATTTCATCCAATTTCTTTGTGGTATCAACTTTTATTAGTTTTTAAAACTAATATTTATTACAACAAAATAGAATAAAAATAAAAATTATAAAAATAACACAAACCAAAATTGAGCTTGTTTGTACATACATTTTAAGATGTTCACTTGCATCTTAATAGAAAATAAGTGAGCTTATTGGCACAAGTAGGGGTGTTTATGGGTTGGGTTGACCGGGTTGAACACATTTGAACAATCCAACCCAATGTTTGCGGTTTGGAAAAATCTTAACCCAAACCAAAGTGCAACCCAACCCAACCCAAACGGGTTAATCGGGTTGGTCGGGCTGATATTTTGGTATATTAAAATATTTTTCTAACCTTGAATATGTTATTTCTCTATTCATAATTTCTTTTTCATCATCAACCATTTGATACAACTTATTCATATTTCTTACGTATATCACATTCAGTTAATTTTTTTCAATTTACATATATATGTTCACAATTACTTGACATATATATGAATGAGTTATATAGAGATATGAATAGATTGAAAATATGTGTATATGAAAAGCATATATGATAGTGTAATTGTCTAATGTATATATTAATAGAAATTCAACAATCATATTAAATCCAAGAAATAAAAGAATATCGGGTTCATCGGGTTGGGTTAGGTTCAAATAATAGCAACCCAATATCAACCCAATACCTACGGTTTGACAATTTTACAACTCGATTAAACATCGGGTTGGGTTTTCTACGCGTTGGGTTGGGTTGTGTTGATCGGGTTAGTCGGGTTTTTGAGCACCCCCAGGCACAACCCAAGTAGCTGACTTGTTAAGATTCAGCCCAAAGAATTTACCTCTCGCTTACCCCTCATATGAAAAAGCACTCTTCGAATTTTATATATGTCTTGTAACAGTAGATTGCATTGTTAATCTCGTTTTCGATGTTACATTTTGAAATTATATTTGATGAATTCGTGTGATTTTTTTTAACGATATCGTGAATTTATGATATTATGTTTTGATGTTCAAATAGTTGGTTGAAAAATAAACAAAAAATCATTAAACAACCTTAATTCAAATTAAGGGGTAGATCAATCATTTATGTCATTCAGATTTTTGATTTAGGAAAAAACTAAATAATACATTTTTATCCAGACAAATAAATGTATCTATAAAAGATTTCATAGAATATCTGGTGAAAAACCCGTAAATTGTATACAAGCATTCTATCATGTCAATATGGATTTTTCGTTATTAATCAAAAATTTTAATATAAGCATCTATGTATTTGTTGTACGTGTATACATACATCGTCTACGTTTGATAAACTAATTGATGAACTAAATGATAGTTGAAAAAATAGCTGATGAACTAATTACATTTAACAAAAATAGCTGATAATCTAGTTGAAAATGTAAATTGATCAGGAATGACATGTTAAAAATTAGTCAATTTTAATATTATATAATATAATTAAAACGAATCGAATCTAATAATATAATATGTGAATTTTGTACAAACTGGATAATAAAAAAAATAAATGATACTTAGTAATAATTTTAAATAATTTACAATTAAATTTATTAATAAATTGAAATTAATATTAATTAGCAATTAATAAATAACAACTAATATTAATCGGGGTTATAATTAAAACAGGGTTGCAGAAAGTTCACGAACTTTATTTCAATAAGGTAGCTTATAAGCTATTCTTTTCTCATCCAAATAAGGTTTGCAATAAACTCAAAAAATAAGTCAGCTTATGTTTACAAAAACATGATCAACGTATTGATAGAAACACACGTCAAAAAACAAAGTAAAAAAATGACTCCCACTAGATCATAGGAAACTAGTAACTAATCAGTTATAACTTTACAGACATCAGTTACTGATTTAAAGACATGATATATATATATATATATATATATATTATTTATTATTTTCATCTCAAATTTTTGGGGAAAAACCACCCACATGTAATATAACAAAAGCTATTAATGGATGAATAAAGCAAAGTGGTCACAATAGGATAAAAAGGGGGACCAAATGCTTTTGTACATTTTTGTCAAAGGATGGATGAATGCTCAATGTGCAATTTTCACAATCACAAAATGGATTTTTTTTAATTTTATTATGAATCACACATAAAAAAACGAGTTTATTAGAATATTTAAACAGTCTTGAAAAAATAATTATCAGTGTTTTCAATCGACCTAACAAGTATTTATAATTTTTGTTGTTATTGATGAAGCTGAACAATTTAACAGGATTTGGGTAACGTTTTTATGGAATATTGCTTGAAAAGTATTTAATGACAATTAACAAGTTCACATGGAATAACATCAGTGGTTGATCTCTAGATGACGAGGCCACGATTAGATGGTTGACAAGAAACGTAATTAATTGTTAATCAATAAACAGGTTCAACTACCGATGGATTGATATCGAAAAAGACCTTTTTGTATTTGTAATTGATTTCGAAATTTGAATGAATCGAAGAAAAAAAGACCATTATTATAAATTTTATCTGTTTTTTGGTTCTCATTATGTTTATGTTCATCCTTAATATTTTTATCAATTTTATTAATTAAATATTTTCTATCCGTATTTTGTTCCCCACACACACACACACACACACACACATATAACGTACTTTAACTTGATTCATATTTTGTGTAACGTACTTTCAAAACTTCCATTTTTGTACCTAAGATGTAAGGTTTTAAACATTTAAGGAGTCATGTAACCGATTGAAGCATTAATCGGTTACCATGCTGATGTGGCAAGTGAGGTGGTATCCAACTCAGTATTATTTGCTATTCAACCCAATTTCATCTCATCACTCGTCACATCAGCATGGTAACTGGTTAATTCTTCAACCAGTTACCAGAGTACTTAAATGTTTAAAACTTACATCTTAGATACCAAAATAGAAGTTTTAAAAGTACGTTATCTAAAATATGAATCAAGTTAAAGTACATTTTTTTAAAATTATTCTCTTTATTTGGTCATAATATCTTTCGAATTTTGTTTTTTTAATCAAGTAACTGTTTTTTTTCTTCTTCATAGTAATACCATTTGTTTAAATCTTTATTCTAAAACATATGCGATTGATTGATTGATTGATTACATTTCTTCATTTGCACATGCCTAATCTAGACCACGTAATTTGAGATAAATTATACTGATAATCACCTCTTATCATTTTTCACTAACTGATAAATCATAATCAACTCATATATCAAAGTCTCTATATCACATATACTAACAGATACAACAATAATTAAAACCAATGAAAATCATCAAGTCAGTGAAAATGACTTTCAAAACATTTTCATCTGGTCCCAGTATTTATTTGGACCATGAAACCACTGACATCGACATTATGTACTTATGTGTGATTAAATGAACATGTTCTCTTGTAACGTTTCTATTTTTATTATATATTATATTCATTTAATTTAAGTTAATTATTTATATATCCAAATGTACCTTAAACAACATTAAATCATTTTAATTGTATGCCAAAAGGAATATTACCTACTTTGACATATGATATAAATGAATATATCATACATTTGGTTATACAACAATTAATATTGTCTTATTATTTATATTATAATCATAATTATTGATGTTATATTATTATGTATAATTAAGACAACAAAGATGGAATCTTTCCATAACTTAACCTTTTATATCTAAAATATCCTTTTTTTAATATAAAAAGTTTGTTATATATGTACTTTAACTCTCTTAACCATATGTTGGCTTCATGTATGCTTATGGGAATTAAGCCAAATTCATAATTGGTTAGCCCACACTCAACCTATATAGAGAGAGACTTGGGATCACGTGAGATCAATCTGTTTTCATGATATCCGTAAGACCACTTTTCTTTACATTTGTGAATGTTTGGATTATTTTACCTTCACAATGTTTTGCTGTGAAGTTTCAAGTGTAAAAAAATGGTATCACGTGAACTCAACTCCATATTATATATATATATATATATATATATATATATAGATGTAGACAGATAGATAAAGAAGGATGAGAACATTATCAAAATAAGAGAACACGATTTTTGATTAAATCACATGTGATTTGCAATGAAAAAACATGTGATTACGGAATGCAAGCGTAATCACATGTGATCTTAAACGTGAGTTTAGTGTAAAATCAAATTTAAGATCACATAAAATCAAATGTCATTTAACTGTTCTCGTATCTGATTTGCCCCATATACACAAAACAATTTATTATTTAGATATCTTAAATATATAATGCATTGATTATATGCTTTATGTATACATAGAATTATATTAACTATATTATTTTCTTCCATTTTTAAGTATATTACCTAAATAAATCATCAATAACATTTATGGTAACAAAATGTTAGTCACCTATCTTTTATTCCAGAATTAAATATTCTTATCAATTATGGGTAATTCATCAAATTTTTGGGTCAATAATTATGGGGTAAGAAAAATACCATAAATGTATCAGTCACCAAAATAAATTGTTATTTTTTTATAGGTTAATATTTTTGATCTGTAAGCCCGAAGTGAGAGTAATGACTCTTTTATCCGACATAAGATTCTCGGTTCTTGTCATGCATGTCTTTTACCGGATTAGATCTCAGTCATTTTCATGTTCATTCGATTAGATAAATGACTGACAAACACTTGATAAACATCTCTAAATGACCCTATAATTGCTTATCCAATCAGTGTTTGGTAAACGCACCCTTAAATTTATTAAAAGTTGTACTAAGACTGATATGATTAATGTGATTATATATATAGTTAATAAATTATTATGTTATGAGTGTTTGTATATACATATATATATATATATATATATATATATATATATATATATTATATATATATATTATATATATCCAAGGTATTTGTGGGCATGGAACTGGTATTGGGATCAACAATAACAAGTTGCAATCAAATAAACAATAGTTTATGTGATTCAGATATGCCTATGTAATCATGGTCAAGGAAACCACGATGTAATTAACAGAATTATATATATATATATATAAAATATATATATACATATATATATATAACTTTAAAGAAGATATATAAAAATACAGTGACATCTTAATGTTATGGTAATTAAAAGAATGATGTGTACCTCCATTAAGCCATAGAAGGAGAGGCTTCTCATGGGGAGTTTCTGCAGCTTCAAAAAACCAATAAAACAGTGCTCTACCATGGCTTTCATTCACTGTAACATAACCAGCATACTGATTGAAGCTCACCGGCGGCTGTCCGGGGAGATCAGTCACCCGATCGCCGTCTTGTTCCAACAATGTGTGGCGGCTCAGCTGTTGCCGCCCCGAAACCACCGCACCCGCCCACCACAAACTGATGAGGAGAATTCTCCAGGTACTTGAGGTGTAATTCATCCTCTCTGTCTGTGTTAAAAAATGATTGAAGGACAGATAATATGTGTATATATATACATATATGATATATGTATATATAGATAGATATATGTATATATATATATACACACACTCTCTTCACACACAAAAGTCTATTTGACCATACATGTATAGGTAGCAAGTTTCTTTTTCATGGGCATTCATCTTTGGAAATTTCTATTTGGACCCTACTCAACAACTTGGTTTTATTTTTATGACAAATTGCATTAAATTTACTTTCAAAACTTCTTATTTACGAGACTTGCTCATTAAATTCAGATTTTAAGATGCATAATCTATACTATACTAGAAGGGTACTTGTGCAAACCAGCGAGATCATCTTGATTTTAATATTTTATTTTATTTTTTATCACAATCGATGTTATAGTATGATCTTATGTGATTTTGAAAAAGCGATAATATTTTTATTTTTGAATAAAATACAAATTTGAAGATATCATAAAAATTTGACAAAAATATATCGATATTAGTATCAAATTAACTATTTAAAATTCTTATTTTTTGTGTAATTTTTTAATTAAATTTTTTTATTATAATTTAATTTAGGTTAAATAACGAAATAATTTATATTTGGTTTATAAATATAATTTTCTTATAAAGATAATAATTAATTATTTTGTTAGAACTCGATAATTATCTTAATTATATTTTTAGATTTTAAAATGAGATATTTATCCTATATTTGATTATGTTTATCCGCAGTTAATTACACGAATTCAAACATGAATCTTTAATAAGTTGTACTTATGCATAATTTACATGTAATCTTGAATTTTAAGTAATATACATCAATAAACAGTACTTCATGCATAAATATGGTTTTTAAGAGTTATTGTCAAATGCTTTATAATATAGTATAGATTATAAAGTATTTGGCAAAAACTCTTAAAAACTATTTTTTATGCATGAAATACTGTTTATTAATGCATATTATTTAAAATTTAGGATTACAAGTAAATTGTGCGTAAGTACAACTTATTAAAGCTCTATTTTTGAATTCGTATAACTAACTGCAGATAAACATAATCAAATACAAAATAAATATTTCATTTTAAATATAAAAAATCTAAAATATAATTAGAATAATAATTGAGTTCCAACATAATCATTATCTTTATAAAAATTATATTTTTAAGCCAAAAAATAAATTATTTCGTTATTAGATTTAAATTAAATTATAATAAAAATTTGAATTAAAGAAATTGTATAAAAAACGAGAACTTTTAGATAGTTTATTTGATTTTAATATCGATTTATTTTTTCAAACTTTTATAATATCTTCAAATTTATTTTTATTCAAAATTAAAAAACATCATCTTTCTCAAAACCACATAGACCGTATTATATCAACGGTGATAAAAAAAACGGAACATTAAAATGAAGAAATATCTCGCTGCATTGCACGCGTATCATTCTAGTGTTAAACAATATTTTTAATTAAATTAATTAGAATATCTATAACAAATTCATAAAATGGAGAAAATATATATCTTGAACAAGTTTATTGTTCCAAAAAAATTCTCCAAAATGGAAAAAGTATGAAAGAGATTGTGACTGCATTTCTAACGGTCATGCTATCATTCTTTTAAAATATACCATGAAAAATCAAAATCTGTAAAAAAAATATTAAATTCTAACGGTCACTTTATTTTAACAATTTTAACATCAATTATATTAATAAATATTCAATAAATAAAATATTATTTTTTCTAGCACATTTAAAATTTTAATATCTTTTATTTATAGAAAAAAAATTTAAAACGTTTTAAATTATACAATTGAAGCTAAAAAACTTCTAAGATATTAAACAGTAATCAATGAGAATTGATTGATGATTAAAAAAAACTGTATGGTTTTATATTATACAATTGGTTCATTCCTCCAGCAGTCCAAATTTTTATTTCAGATTAAATTGACAACAATGAAAACTAATTCCCATTTTCATTTTATATTTCTTTTAATTTTTATTTTCATTTTCATTTTCATTTCCCAACCTGAACCAAACAACCCTTAAACCTTCAACAATAATTATTTTAGCACAAATGTTGAAGATGCTCTGAAATTCACCAAATTTGGAGAACTCTACAAATGATTACTATGAAAGAGAAATATTTTTGTTATTATATTTCACCAATAAGAAAGGGACATAATATTCTCATGATCCCTTCATTTAACAATGTTAGTTAACAACCATTATGATGGATCCATTTGTCTTTGAACAAACTACAGGGACCAAAAATGCAATCTACTCTAAAATATAATGTAATTCATGTTTTCTTTTATTTTTTATTAAAAAATATTTTATATATACAATTACAAATCAAATGTCTTAAATAAAAATCTTTATATTTATTTAAAACTATAAAATCTAAAGAAATCGAGATAAATTCACATATCTTTTGAGTTAGGAATTGAAATATGCGAAAAAAAATATTAAAAGTTAAGTTGAAATACGAGATTATTAATATATAGTCAAAATAGTGAATTTATTTGAACTTATTTTTCAGTATTTTAGTCGCATATTTCAATTCCCAACTCAAAATATATGTGAATTTATCTTCATTTCTTTTAGTTTTCTATATTTGAGATTTTTTAAAGATAATTTTTTTGTGAATTTTATAGTTTTTAAATAAATATAAGATTTTTATTTAATATGTATTTTATTTAAGATGTTTAATTTGCGATTGGATATATAAAATATTTTAAAAAATAAAATAAAATTACATTATATTTTAATGCAGATTACATTTTTGGTCAATATATTTTGTTCAAAGACCAATAAATCTACCATAATGGTTGCTAACTAACATTGTTAAGTGGAGGGACCATGGGTGTTAATACGTTATAAAAATAAAAGATTAAGAACCACCAGTATAGATAGTTTGTTTTAAGGATTAAATCCAAAATTTGAACAAATCACATGGACCACCAGTATAATTGACTCTTCGTAATATATCAGGTTTTAATAGTGGCTAAATACAATAGAGACATTGGATGGTCATGGTCCCTTATATTTAATTAAGAATACTTTCTACAAATTTAATTTAAAATCTTTAAAAAAAATATTAACTCAGACTTTTTCTTTATTTTGAAAGTACAATATGAATTATATTATTAAAGTATTTAATATTTTTTCATAAAATATTATTTTTCTCTCTTATACATTTAATTTAAAAGATTCTTTTTTTTTCTTTGTAAGGGTGTCCGGGCCAAAGCCCGACTAATCCCCGACAAATTTGGAGGCTAAACATGGCATCACTTAAATGTCGCCAACACTCCCCTCCCAGGGCTCGAACTCGGGTTCATGACTATGTCATGCCCAAGCCTTTACCACTAGGCTGGAAGGTCTTTGACAATTTAAAGGATTCTTGATGATAGAAAGAATAAAAAAATAATTTATTTTTTCATGCATAATCATTTTTGGAAACTTCTCTAAATTTGGAGAATTTTACCTCCTCTTTTTCACTTTCTCCATTGTAGAGAAGAATTTGTTAGAACAAAAATCTCCCAAGTTTTAATGTTCTAACAATCTTTTAAACTGATATAAATAGGGTATATTTCAAATGCAACCATGTCCATTTGTACAACCAATACAACCCAATTAATTGAGATATTTATGGAAATGATGAGAGTTCATTTATTATGATTTGAATATTTATGTAAAATGAATATGGTTCATTGATTATGATCAATATTTTATATTAGAAAACAATCAAAACTTCTATAAGATCACATATTCATAAAATTAAATGGACCGTTGAGATTGAGTTGTATTGGTTGTACAAATGTAAAAGGTTGTATAATAATCAACCTCTCTCTCTCTCTCTCTCTCTCTCTCTCTATATATATATATATATATATATATAATTTTGATTAAGTTTATATAAATAACTTTTCATTCTAATGTATTAATATAACACCACATTTCACATTTACATATAACCACATATTTCATATATTATGAAATACAAATTTACATATTTGGTCCTAATATATACAAAATGCTACATTACAAAAGTAACTACCAATTTTTTTATATAAATACATAGTACAAGACTTGTAAATATAGCAAGTTTTCAAGTACAATTAACATAACATCTTCCAAAGTCCACGTATGTAAAGCAATCATGATCCCTTTATAATTTCTTATTTCCCTTATCCTCCGGTTATGCTTAACTTGTAATGCAAATTTTAAAACACAAAATGAGGGTTAGACCATAAGATCTAATGAGAAATCACTTTTGATTGCTATTATAGGGTGAAAATCACCAAAACACTTTTATAAATCTCATATTTGTATAATTTACAAATAAATAGTGTTTTATCAAAACAAACATCTTTTTTGTCGCATCAAATAGATGAGACAATTTCTTTTCATCACATCAAACCCATGAAGTACCAAAGTCATCACATTAAATATAAAATATATCAACTTGTCGCATCTCATTGATACGATCATATTTTCATCGCGTCATCTCAAACATGTCGCATCATACAGATGCGATATCTCACTTCCTCGCATCACAAGGATGTGATTAACCCATCTTGTCGCATCATACTTACGCAATAATCTCACTTTGTCGCATCACACTGATGCAATAACCTCGTTCCTCGCATCACAAGGATGCGATAATTTCCATTAATTGCATCACAATGATGCAATAACACTATCTCATCGCATCATATAGATGCGATGAATCAAACTTATCGCATCATAAAGATGTGATAACAGTTCCACATGATCAAAAATCCCATTTTACACACAGAAGATTTTGTCATCTGTATCAAAATATACGTTTCTCCTGATTATATCATTCTTATCCCAAAATACGTCTCTCTTTATTATGTCACCCTTATCTAAATATACGTCTCTCTTTATTATGTCACCCTTATCCCAAAATACACCTCTCCGGATTATGTCACCCTTATTCCAACCAATTGATAATAATATATCAAAACAC